CTAACTAAAACTGCAGATGTTCAGAATATTATATTGAAATTATAACTATAAAAAAATACTTGAAACTTTGTAGTAGAACGAAGCAAAATGGAGAGTACAATGATAACAATCATATATTCATTCCACAGAATGAAAAGCCCTGGTAGAATGATTACAATCCAAATGTTGAATAACAATCATTCAAAAAATTTACAAAATTTATGCTTCTCCATTCTCTCATGGAGAAGCAAAATGCTCCTTCATGGAATAAATAAAGGTGATCTTAGTAAATAAAAAAACCAAATAGTTAATAATGAAAATTAATAAAAAATTTGTGTTGTTATAACAATTCTATATTTATTTAAAGTTGTGCGTTTTGACGTGACGTCACATTTCTCAACCCCCCCTCCCCTCCTCGTCACACACCGTCACAAATGTCTGACCCCCCTCCCCCCTAGGTGCGTGACGTCATTTATGGACAGCCCCTGACGACGATGTGACAAGAGTCGCCTTATTGGGACACAGCCACAACACGGGACCCTAGGCCTTCGTGATTTGCCCTCAGCTTGTCACTTCTGTGGTGCCACGACAGCGGAGCAACTCCGCAAGCGCCGCGATCCCCTCCCGTCCCCGCACTAAACACACACCCGCACGCAGCGCACCCACGTAATGTCCTGGCGGGGGGTTGCCTGGCACATCGGGTTTTAATCCAAAGGGCCCCTAGAGGGAGAGTGCCACGGTTTCCCGGTGCCAGGAGATTGGCCGACCCTCACAGGACAGGTTACATTGCGGTGCCCCTAAATTGGCTTAAAATTGTATGGGCGCAGAAGGAAAAGGTTCACTGGGCCAACCGCAATAAGTTATTCACGACATTGGGAGAGGCGGAGGGTGGAATATTAGGCAAGAAGGGCAGACCAGTAGGTTAAAATTAATGAGCACGGGAGAACAATGGGTGAGCGGAGCAGCAGAACACTCCGTGGCACTCCATGTAGACGGCGCAGGTAAGCGCGCGATTGGCTGCGCAGTACAACATCACCCTGGGCCTTTGAAGTTAAGGGAATACAAAGAGTAGCCGGGGACGATTTTGGGCAGTTGTCTTCAACCTCCGGGCCATCAAGACCCACCCCCCGCCGTCCTGCCTCCTCGAGCCGCTCGCAGCATCCATGTGATGCCAGCGAGTGCCGCTACGAGGCTGTGATAGGTAAAGTTTTCTCTCGTCCTTCTTCCTACAACTCTAACAGCGTCTGTGCGACGCCGTGAGTACAGCTTCGAGGTACGTGGTCGGACGCCTGAGTGACTGGGTACGCAGGCAGAGTCAGGCTGAGCTCTTCTCGCGAAATATTGCCCCTCCAGGTAGTGTGTATTTGCGCCGTTAAAAAACTTTAGTTCAGAGTATCGGCGCAATGTGAGTGTGGGTAGAACATTGGCGTGGTGTCTGTGATTTGTGGGTAGTGCGACCAGCGCGGGGGGGATGGTGTGCGCGAGAGAGCGAGCGCAGGGCTGCAGCGTCGGTGTGGTGTTGGTAATTTGAGGGTGCGTGTGAGGCGCACGCGTGTATTAAAACATAAGCGCTCGCGCGTGTTCACGCAACAACAATAGCATTGACGGCGAGGCGCGCGCGCAAATTCGCGCAGCTCTTTAGCGCTAGCCTTTGTGTGCAAGCGGATTAGAGCTAAACCACCCGGAGGTGCGCGTGCATATTCATACCGCCGTTTTCTTTAGCGCTACCCTTTGTGTAAAACGAGCGCCTGCAGGGGCGCGCGCGTGCACGCAGCCGCCTTCGTATTAGTGGTGGTGTACGTGGGCGTGTGCGAGATAACCCCGGGCGGTGGTGAGCCAGCCACTTAGTTATGTCCCTCAGAGACGGCGCTGGCGCAGGGGGGCCGATCACTCGATCGGCGGGGGCCCCGCGAGAGGCGGCCGACGAAGAGAAGGGGGGAGTGGAGGGGGTGGACGTCGCGCCCTGCCCGCTGACAGGGAGCGGGGAGGCGGGCGTCGGCCCCCACACTTCCTCCGAACGTCCCCCACTCCTCGTGCTCTCTCTCTCCTTTAATATTCCTCGAGCCCCCCTTCTGGAACCTTCTTGTCCTCGTTTTTTTTTTCCTTAGCCAATCCCTGCCCTTCCCCTCTAATGGATCCTCTCTGTATTCCTATTTATCCCTTTAAACGTCTGCCTCCCGACCAATCACCGTAGAGGCCTCTTTCTAACAATCGGAGACCTTTGTTTATTTTCAGATCGCCGTTAGGCTGTCTATTGGCTTTGGGGTCATTTTTCGGTCATTACACGTGTGCACCGCTGCCAACGCACTACTGACAAAATATGAAGTGCGTCAAAGAAACCTCCCATCGAGGGAAGAATTCGAGCCCGGCTATATCGATTATCGGTTCAGTTACTCAACTCATCGGATAACAAGAAAATATTTTGGGGGGAAAAAAATATTATGTTCTGCCACGTGTGCCACTGGACGGGAGGTTATGGGTTGGGCTTACCTACAACATAATCACTATCAGCGGCGTCACTTTGTGCATGGCTCGTATGGGGTTTCCAGACTTCTGGAGGCCAGATGAGGGAGGCGTTATATTTTAAGGGTCACCGCATCGGCCAAAAAAATAGTAATCACAATTAGTCGGTGAGTCGACTTCGTTGACTATTTATCCCAACTACTTTTAACTTAAGCCTATGTACACATACCTCAAAACAAACACGTGCACACACATGTACATGGACACGGGTACCGGTACATGTGAAAATATCTTACCGTTTAGAGCAACGCAAAGGTTGGGCAATTCCTGGCCCGGGCTTACCACTTTTCTGCGGCCTTCCAATGTATCTTGTAGTTCACCAGCGATTGTAACATTCACTTTGCATGAACGACGCTATTTAAAACTAAACAGTATTATTCACATATACTGCACGTTTGTGTACGCATGTTTATGCACACACATGTACATAGACATCTGAGACTACAGTATTCGGAAGTAAAATACGGCAGTAGCTGAGTGACTACTGTGTAGTTGTGCGTCCCGACCGAATTCTAAGGCTCTGAAGAATATTCTGACAGCCATTAATGCCTCAACGAAAATCGCGAACAGGCGACAGCTGGTGGCAAATACTTTTGTCTGGTTACCATCTGGGGCCTCTTCTTGCTGTCCATTCAAATTCATAGTAGTGGCCGGCAAAATGTGACGCCATTTGGTACGTTACAAATACACGCATCGAATTTATGGCGTGCAAAATAGGATTGTTTTCAACTGTGTGCAAATGTTGCATTTAAATGTTTTATGCTAATACTGTCGTAATGAATAGGGCAGAACAAAATAGGAAAGACGGGACGAAAATTTCAAATGAGAGTGTAAAAACTGATAGAAACAATACTTTGACTAAAGGTATTCTTGGATCAGACCGTGCACGTAAACTGACCATGACATCAATTAATAAAATCGCCAGACGAAGGGGGATCGATATATGATTCATGTAACAGTGAATGCATGCGTTAACATGTTAACTAGGGAGTGCAGCAAATTGGAAACCGAAATTCTAACTTCCATGTAAAACAAATGAAACCAACTCGCATTCTTTGACAAAGATAAATGATCAACTACAGTTGTGTGCACATTCGTGTTTATTACAATATTAGGTGAACTATGTAAATCAAAAAGGCATATGGTAGGTCACGAATAGGGTTGAATTAGAAATTATGATCTATATTAAACATATAAGAGCTTAACAAGCAAATCGGCAACCTGACTGGTGTCTTGGATATGCGAATTTCATGAGCGAGCTAGGCACATTCTGTCCTGTGTTTACAAATGCAAGGTACAAAATAACATCTATATCGGAATATAACCAAATAAAAACATATTTTGGTCATTTTTGATCGTGCATTGGGTGTTTTGTTATGATCACATCAGCATACTTTGTTGTGAATGTATGTTTTCTGGCATATATAAGCGCGTCACTTTCGTGAAGAACACAAATCGTGAAAAATCGATACACAGTTTTCAACCTTTCATGTGCAAGTGTGCATTGCTATTAATTTAAATTTCTCAAATCCAGAATGCATTTTAATTCTTCAAAATATCTACTTACGTTGTCCATATAGACCCAGGACCAAAACGTTGTTCACCACTGATGTTATCCGTGGAGGGAAATGAAGCTCAGTTCGCCAAGTTTATCGAACACTAACTACTGCAACATTGCTCCATTCCACAAGAACAGTCGACTTTCACAAGGTGAAAGCCCATGAAGACAACAAGACTCTCTTGCAAGAGTGATGTGATTCAACAAATGACAGCAAAATAGTGGATTTCAGACCTAAATGTGCAGAGGTGAAGAGGTCAACACGATACATGGAGTCGCACAACATTATTAAACACGGATTGTCAAATGAATAGAATTGTGTAATTTAAAGTGTATAAATTTCGATTTAAGGCTTTCGTGACTGCAGGCATTCATATTCTTGGTTCTTTCGGTAGTCACGTAGAAGGGAAATAATAAAATATTAAAAATAAAAATATAAAATTCTCATGACGTTTCGTGGTTTTCACACCTGATGATGATTTCTTGTGTTGCAATCGAAACGTTGTGAGAATTTAATTGTTTGATTTGTATTATTTTATTATTTCCCTTCTACGTGACTTTACCGAAAGAACCAAGAATAAGAAAGTGTATAGTTTTTATTAATCACTGCAACATCTACTTAATACTGAGTCGTCTCTGATAAACGTCTGGGCAATTCTCAATTAAAGTATATTCATCACAACATCATGGATAACTGCTCATGTGATTCCGGACGGGAATTTGCGTTCCTTTCTAAATCTAGACCACGCATAAATATTGTGTGATCATAAATAAGCCATCTCTCTGATGGGGATTGTGTGTGAGCATAGAGCACATGACAAGTCACATGCTTGCATCTTGTTTGCCAAGATCAACATCCATACAGCAAGATGTTGCGTGAGTATATAAGAGCAGAGGCACAGTGCCTTTGCGCATAATCTCAGCTGGACCAACACAGCACATGACCTATGCGTGTCGTATACGACATGCACATTGAGTGAAATGAAAATGAACCGGTGCGGGTCTTGGCTCGTGTGCTGGCTGGCGATTGTAATGAGCGTGGTGTCAAGGGAGGCATTTGCTAAGCTAAGTACGAGCTGCTTGTACATATGCAGTTTACCACACCCATTGATTTCAGTTTTGTTGTTTTAATATTGTTTAAAGTTTGTGATCGCACTTTAAAGTAAAATGCGGGGCGCGGTGATGCACAGCTGTGATTTAACGCTTGGTGGCAAGGGTCGGTGGGTCACATAAAGATTTGTGAAACTGCCAAGCCCTTTGGGCTGTGTGATAGCCAGCATATTGAAACAGAGACAGTGGACTCGTGAACCCATCTGTGTGAATCTTTGATACCAGATCATATGCATGGTATTTATTTTATTGCTTCAGTTTTCTCCCATATAAAAAACACTTAACGATAAATTGCTAAACATTCCAATGTAGGATGTTTTACATGTACATTTTTATTCTGAGTTTTCGTAGATATAGCGTGCCTGTCATAGGTCCAAATAAACAATAATAAGATTGCAGTTCTGTTACGCGACTCAGACCTCTACACAAAAGCATCCGTTATTTAATTGTGCTAAAGTGGCTTCATGAACTAGATTTGTAATGTTCTTGCCTATAATTAGCATTATCGATGTTGCAAAGTAGCTTGCCTCGCCCAGCCTGTAAGAACACCCTGTGTTAATTGTCATTGCTAATTGATCAATATTCGCTCTTGAATAATGACATTATATGTCTAATTTTCTCTAATTAGACATTTATTGCATTGAAAGAAATGTGTAATAGACATTAAAAATTGAATTTAGACGCCAACCAATCATGAAAGCAAGAAAGTGTTTTTTTTTTACTATTGACCACATATAACATATTAGATGCTATTAAATACCACTGCATATCAAATTATATTACGCCTAGCTTTGTTGAAAAAAACATACTTGATTTCAAAAGGAGTCAGGCAAAGAGATATGCTCTCGCCCATCCAGTAACAGTGACTATACAATAAATTTTTGACCGTGGAAAAAGGAGGACTGAATTTGGCAGTGGATAGATAATTTAATTGCTGATTATGATGATGTGGCAGGACATAGCAAAGACATCTGTGCCAGGATAGGTGTACTTTCAGGATCCATGGAGTAAGTGGCGAAAGTACGCTGGCAGCTCGCAGCAGACCTATGCACACACAGAGCTTGAAAGCTGTGAACGTATTCTGTGCCTTGCAGCTTACCGTGATGCGATGGGTAGATTATCATTCCCATCCTCCTACTCCCCCGGTGCCAACTGGATGCCCGACTCCAACGGATGGTCTGACAAGCACTACCCCGTCACCCAGATGGGTGGCTCAATCCCTGAATGCTGGCCCGGTACTCATTTCTAAGATACATACATGGTGTACATTATCATGCATTAACATAGAGATTCATAATGTGATTCCATTCACCTTCGATTTGCACGATTGGCTCCGTTTGGTGCGAACATTCAACCGATACATTTCAGTACATACATGTTTTTTTAACACAGATCAATGAAATGTATCACGCCCGTAAAATGTACAACGCTATTAGGCAATGTAAATGATGTGTGGGTGTCTGTGTTGTGTGCATACGGCTGTGTGTAGTCTGTGTATGTGATTCTGACAGATCTGAGAGTAAAATGAGATGTCTTGACGGCATGACAAAGATGCGGACGAAAATATTTCACAGCGAGTTCTGACATCTCTCCATTACCGTCAATACGACATTCGGGGCAATTTATAATAAAAGGACGTGAATGTGGCCTCAACAAAACCCCGAAATAAATGGGACACCCAATTGAACCTCCCACTGCGCTCACGCACCGTCTCTCCCACATTTCACAGGCGGCTCCTTGAAGCTGACAATGACCAACGATGGGCCCGCTCTGCAGGGCTCCAGTCTCACCGTGAAGACCAAAACCATCTTCCCCCGGGCCATGTGGATCGCCGACGATGGGCAAGTGCGCTGGGCGCGCGACCTCTCCTCCCGAGGTAGTCGGTCACGGAGAGGGCCCGCTCTTGCGATTCGCCACTGTGAATACGACTTCGGCGCGTGACTGTTCATTGATCGTGCCTCGTCTTGAGAAGTGCGCATGTTGAACTTCTTTTAGCACCGTACGTAGCGGGAAGGACAACAAACTAAACACAAAATGCAGTTCGAAAGAAATTCGTTTTCAATCTCGATGACTTCAAAGGGAATCGCTCCAGTTGCTTCTTAATATCAGAAGGGAGAGCGTTCCAGACAGCAGCAGAAGCGCATCTGAAAGCGTGCGATGCGGTAACCGTCTTTGTGACGTGAAGGGGTGGACAATCAGGGTAGTCGCCCGGTGTACAAGGAGAGGGTGCTGAAGATTTCCAGATGAGGGAAGCGAGAGACCCAGAGAGACGTAGAAAAGCAGAGACAAAGAGCAATACAGACACTTTGAGACAGTACCACGCCCCCATTCCAAATTGTGACCACAAGAATGGTTTCCCCAGGACATGTTCTGTTGAGACATGGCCTGCTCAGTAATTATTTTAATTGGGCATGCATCCAATGATTTCGCATGTAAGGTTTTTTTACGTGGGAATAATTAACGCTGAATATTGATGTCGGTAAAAGGGAGATGCCACCAAGAATTGCTCTTACCTTGTAAATACAGTACTTTATGTGCCGTGGTTGTGTGTCCCTTGGCTTCGTGTAATTCTTTTTTTTTAATTAGAGAGAGAGACTTTCAAGTGACTTTCATGAGCGCCACCTCCCTACCCCGCGCGACACGTGCGCAGGGCGTCTGCGAGTCATCGCTCGGCGGCACGTGGCCTTCGCCCTGGGCGACTCCCCGGACTGCAAGCAGAACAATAACAACAACAACAACTGGGGCCCGTGGCCTCCAGACCGGAACGGCAACAACTCGTACCCCATCTATCCCGACGGAATGCTCATGCCCCAGCCCCGCGAACACTACAAACAGCGCGAGTTTGTCTACGTCTGGCACACGCAAGGTGCGCGCACGCGTGCGCGCACTGGATGGCAACACCAACACTCTTGTATCAGATCGAGCCGCATGCTGTCTGCCTCCTCTTGGTGCCCTGGGACCTGTTTGTGGAGGGCCCTGGGACCAGAGGCGGATTAAAAACTTCCCAAGGGTTTGCATTGGCGGGGGTAGTCCTGAAATTTCAAGATAAAAAAAATTGCTCAATGTTAATAAACAACAACAATGAACGCATTTACAATTGTAAGTATCACTAAAATACACATTTTTTTCGGTATCTCAAGGGTATAGAGGGTGGGAGTACATTTTCCCCCACTTCCTCGCCTCACCGACTCCCCGAGGAATCGCCACTGGCTGGGACTCGTGGTGAAGCCACCACCACCACCACCCCTTCGAGGGGGCCCTGGCTGTCCGGACTGTGCTGGGTATCCCTGGGGCCCGTTATCTCTCCCCCACGTTTTCCATCCTCTAAGCTGCTCGCCTCCCCCAATCCCCCTTCCCGCCCCATATGTTGTAAAGCCTCTTCAGATGCGATTGCATTTAGATGCCGTATGCATTCATTTGTTATCGTTTCTCCAGTTTTGTGCCTTTTATTGGAGCAAATAATTCTCCCATCAGAAATGTATTCAAATAAAGTTCATCGCTACGCTCCTGCTTTCCAAGCGTCTTGAAGTGCATTCACATTTGGACCTAATATACCGGTAAATGTGTTGTATTTTATTTAATTGCACTGACGGTTCCTAAAGCTTAAGTAGATGGCTCTTACCGATACAATCTGCCAACTAAGCAGCTGTTATTCGACATGCCTGGTTCTGCTGATGAGATCCAAAAGGTTATAACCGGTTCCGAGTTTTCCAATTTAAACAAATGCTGCTGGAAGATGTTTTTTTCCCCCCACCAGAATGTCTGTAGTCTGATGGGATTGGAAAAAAGCACGTTATCGTTTCGTGGAGGCGTGGGATCTTCTCTGGGTTTTTTTGTGCCATAGAATTGATTCAAACAGTGTTGCGTCTCCAGTGGTGTAGCTCTGGAGTGTGCAGACAGTTCAATTGCATCAGGGCTCGTGGGCTGAAATGGCTCAGACACTGGGCTACGAAGAACGGCGAAGGCAGATGGCGCAGCATGCTACTCATCACACCAGGTTCCATGCCAACCACGCCCACTCTGTCGATTGTGTCTGAGCGCAGGCAACTACTACCAGACAATGGGGGGCACGGACGCGAGCGTGGAGCTCAAGACGGCCACCATGGACGTGGGGACGTTCCAGATACGAGTGTTGGTGTACCACGAGGGCTCGCAGGCTGGCAGGTTCTGTCCGCTGGCCAACGTCTCCAGCACCTACACAATCACCGGTAACCCCGGAGCGTGCATCTGCCCAGGCCATTATTATTACTCCAGGGCCACTTTCATCATTGCCATCAGTCGGGATCTTTCCACTGCTGAGCACACAATTTGCTGGGATTTAATACTGTGGTACAAGTAGCATATACCGCTGTCCACTGGGGAAACAAATGTGAATGGTTTAAGTTGTGAATCTTTGATGTGATCATTTATAGATGAGACTGCAAGGTGGTCATGAGCTAAATCTGTTTGGACCATTGCATCTTGCCCTCTTGCATGCGTGGTGAGTTTTCTATTGGTGCTTCCGTTTGCTCCCACATAAAATCAAACTTTTATTCATGGAATTGGCATCTCAAATCTCCCAACGTAGCAGGACCCTCCTAAAATATAGCTTTAGTTATCACTGAGCATTAGTGTAGGTTTATCTTTATTTTGTAACGTCCGATATTTGTTGTGCTGATGCCCTGCGCTTGCAGACGAGGTGCAGCTGAGCATCAACGTGTCTCAATCTGGAGACCGCAATCCCAAGGACAACGTGTTCCTGGTGGGCAAAGAGGTCAAGCTCAAGGCCACGCCGTACGACCCCACCGGGTATCTGCGCAGCAGCAATGTCACTTACACGTGGGACTTTGGGGACGGCACGGTGAAGTCGGTGCCTGGCGAGAATGGTAGCGACAAGGAGCACGCGAACCCAACAGGCCACACGTACGCCACGGCCGGCACCTTCCGCGTCTTCGTGGAGGTGCAGGCCGTCATCCCGACGCCCTGCGAGCTCCTCAACGCCACCGTCCTGCCTGACTCCGCGCCACAGAAATTCTACTCGGCTGAGATTCGTGAGGAAATGGAACTATTTGAATCATGATTATTGATGAGATTGTGTGCAAATTTTTTTCATTATTATTGTTGCTATTATGCTTACCCAGGAAAGCCCCACTGAGTCTCAGGATTTTGCCGTCAGGGGAATGTTGCTATGTGTAATCCCATTTGAGTAACTTTGCAGTTCAATTTTCAGCAATGGGATGTTCGGCCAAAACCAGTTAATGAGTTTTTATAGCTATTAAAGGAAACCGAATAGCCCGGAGGAAACAAACGCAGAGCAGGGGGAGAGCCGACAAACTCTACACATTATGGGACCCGAGTTGGGAATTTAACCCAAGTCCCTTTTTGCAGTGAGGCACGAGTGTGAACATTGTGCCACTCTGCCACGCTATAATGACAATAGAATACCGATTTTATTCCAGAGCAAGATATTAGTGGTGCAGGCTCAACTCCGATTGCAATTTTTGTATCAAATAAAAACTACACCCCAAAAATAGATGAAAACTAATTGGAGATTAAAAGTAATTCAGGCCATGCAGGTCTCTATTACAATATAATGTATATCAGTCCACTTTTTTTCTATACAAAGAAGGGAATAATATGGCCATGCATCAGGAGGGATCCGTGTCTTTCAACTTGGAAGCTAATTTGCTCGCCGACGAGTTAATTCCCAGCCGCTCGTCTTCCACAGAGGCCGTGGAAGAGCTCGGAGAGACCGCGTTCCGCGACCGCCAGGTCAGTTGGCTCTTGCCAACGAGCGTGGCCACCACGGCCTCGCCATCCCTGTGCCAAGTGGTGAAGCGTGGCAGGGCCACCACCAGTGTCATGGTCGTGCGTGAGTCACGCGACGAGACCCACCTCACCCGCACGCGGCACGGCACGACGGCTTCCTTCTGAGCTCGTACAAGCACGACACGAACACGAACGTTTTGGAGCTATAACCATTATCATCGGCAAACGGCGGCAGACTGGTGCCAGAAGTTTGCGAAGCCAGTCGCCTCCATAAAGAGGCTTTATAGGAATAGAGATAGATCATCATTATCATCAGCGATTTTTAGCTCTCACCCCAATGGTAGAACCCTGGCTCAACCGCCTTCCATCTCATCCCATCGTGCTCCCCGACCCTTCAGCTCATAACTCCACACCACGGTTCTTGAGCCATGACTGGGCAAGCATAGTCGGCGTGGTTTCATGTTTTAGGGGCCGTCCATAAATGACGTCACGCACCTATGGGGGGGGGGGGTCAGACATTTGTGACGATTTGTGACGAGGGGGGGGGGGTTAGAAATGTGACGTCACATCAAAATGCGCAACTTTAAATAAATATAGACAACACGTTCTATTTAATTAAATATACTTTGTTTGTAAATGTTTTCTCCTACAACATCAGGGTGCAGCGCCACATTAAATACGCACTACAATGACAATAGTTTAAAGCGATTTGAAGCATTTTTTGGGGGGGGAGAGCATTGTGACGTCATATTTGAGGGGGGGGGGTCTGACTTTTTGTGACGCCGTGTGATTAGGGGGGGGGGGGGTCAAAAATCGTCGAAAATCGCATGACGTCATTTATGGACGGCCCCTTAGAACACACCACCGCCCGGTGCAGTTTGACATCGTGACCAGGGTGGGCTTGAAATTTGATAATTTTTTACTCAGCTTCGTTCCTTTTTATGGTTGCATTGTTGTTCCATTTTTACAATTCACGGAGCTCTTTTGAACACTTTGTTCCCGAGGTTTCCCGTCCTTGTTGGGCTGTCACCTCGTTATAATGTCCATGTGTGCATGTGTGTGTATTTATTCAATAATTCATTTTATTAGATTTGTATGGGCATGCAAACACAGTGGCCAGTGGGGGAACACGTCCCACTACTTTTGAACGTGAGAGCAAGACATACATTCGTTGGGTCTTTCGGTAAAGTCACGTAGATAGGTACACATTTCATTTTCATTATTTTATTAATTTGTACCTATCTACGTGACTTTACCGAAAGACCCAAAGAATATGAATTCCTGCAGTCACGAAGTCAAGCAAGCCATATGTTGCGCGCTTCAATTTAAAACCCTTCATGGGCCGCTCCCTTTGGTTTATCAACATGAGCCCATACCCACCCCCGTGACTAGTTGCTCACGTGATTCAGGATATTTATGTTGTCACTGTTAGGCGACATTTTTGAACTCTATATAAAGTGTGTCCCATACAAATCAGCATTTTTATTTGATAAGAGCGTTATTGTAATTTCATTTTGTGTTCATTTGATTACAACAGATGTGATTATAGTTAATTTGTGCATAGCCGGCTGAGTGGCAATGTTGTTAGGAAGCACAGCTTGCAATTATTAGGTTGCAAATTGAAATCCTGGCAGAGGTACAACATTGTCATTCGTCCCCCCAGGGTCAACAGTGAGTGTCCGATAGACATACTCGGTTCTATTATGAGAATGCAGAATTTCCACCATTTGTTCGTGGCTGTAAACGGGCTCTGCACATCACACCACTCTCGTTTAGGCAAAAACACCACAAAGTTTCAAAATAACACCGATAATACTCTTTATCCAGGAAAGCCTCATTGAGTCTCAAGACTAATTGTTTTTTTTTTGAGTTTCTTGCTTGCCATATATCGTCGGCAATGCAAGTTCAGTAAGTTATATTCTTGTGTGTCTCTCCCCGCTCAGAGGGCATCAATAAATTGCAGGTGGTGCAGACGGTCAAGTCAACGAACTCCTCCAGTGGCCTGGACATATTAATCACCTGTGAAGGCAGGTCGGTCACCCAGTCCGTATGATGTTTGTGTATGCGTATGTACTCGGGAGTGGTAGCAGAATTCGCCTGCTTTAGCTTGGCTTCACATGGCTCAATGATTACGGGGATTGTACAGTTGTAAGTGTTTGACACATGGCTTAATGCAATTTAGATCTTTAGGGTGACCCTGCCCTATGATTGAAACCAGCAAGCCTCTGCTAATTGGTACCATGTTGGATTGTTTTTAAAGACTTATAAGCGTATGCGTTACTTGACTATGTGCCCACCTTCATCTTCATAGCTTTTCTGGAACATTATAATCGACGTCAGTCGCTGACTCAGTCATGATTGTTCATTACATGGAGGGTGATGGTGTTTTGTAGAGTACATCACACAGTGTTCTGTACCACGAGTAGAATATATGACACGTGCTTCTGGGCTAATGGTATGGGAGGCAATAAAGAATGCCGATCTTACCTATGTAAGCATTCCAACATGTTTTTGATCACATGGTCAGTGCGTCACTGACCCTTCGATGATTGAGGAGCGGACAGCAAATAATTAAAGCAATGCACGCATGACGGAATGCTTATTTATATCTTCACAAACGCGGATTGTCCCAGCCTCACGGATAATCAAGAGTACAGGATGTGATTATGAAAAGCACAGACTGTCACCTCTTCACCCATTTCCTCCTTTTTAAATCCTTTATATTAAGTTCGCTTGCTTGCTTAGGAGCGTGCAAATCTTTCGGTCGTTTTTTAACCCACTTCCCGTGATCCAATCGAGCTGACATTTTCCACACAGACTCGTTGTGCGTGACAATTAATGTTCGTGAAATTTTTTTCCCAAAAATTTACACTTCTTAGGACAAAAGTATTATATTTAATTACCAATTGCTTAATGGTGCAGTGCAATCATCTGACCCATAGGTGGCAGCCATCTCAAGCCAGAGGACGAGAGGACTCTAGCCGCCACGCATATAAAGGATTTAAAGTGAAAAACTTTGTTTTTACGGGTTATACTTGTTTATTCTCCTCCCTCCTTCATCCCACCGGCGTGGCCGCCCCCAATCCGGCACAGCATTCCCACCGAGGTGTGCACCGTGATCGCGGATGAGCTGTGCCTGGAGATCCACAGCAGCTCGTGCGTCCTCTTCCATCTGCCCTACACCTCGTGCGCACTCACTCTGCACCAGGAGTTCAACACGTCCGGCGTCTACTGCGTCAACATCACGGCCTACGACGACGTGGGCGTTTCGGCCACCAGTACCAAGCTGCTCGTCGCTGTTCAGCCAGGTGTGTGTGTGCGTGTGTGCGTACGTGTGTCTTGTTGATGTGGGGGAGCGATGGTGCGGCGGTCGGCGCGTTGCGCTACGAACCCGGTGAACCGAGTTCGTTTACCGCTCACGGCCAATTATCTTAACTGGTTCCGGACTATTATCTTCACTGGTTTTGGGCCTCCCCGAGGTCGACTCAGCCTCAAATGGTACTCGCAAACCCATCCTCTCGTGTACGGTGCTTGCCTTTATAGGTGTTCGTTAACAGCACTTGCCCCAACAGTCTGTTAAGTCTATACGGGTGATCTTTGTCTTAGTGTTGTTGTTTTTGATTGGGGGAAAAGTAGCAGCACAGTGGTTAGTGCACTGCGCCAAGAGCCTGTTGACTTGAGTTAAATTTAAACCGCCATCGTCAGCAGCGAATATTTGAATTAGTTATGCCCTTCCTAGGTCGACTCAGCCTTAAATGAGTATGATACCTAGTGTGGCGTGTAAACACTAGCACTGGGGATAAAGGTGGTTTTGTCGTAGTGCTCACCACATCATGCCCGCATGTGCTGTGCCTGCCTTTAGAGGTGCTCGCTAACAGCATTTCCGTGGGCTGAGTTCACACAAGCCGTTACATTATACTGCTATTGATTGTCAATATCTGTATATTTCCAATAATAACTGAAAACCGTCAAAGCAATACAGATATGAACAATGCACCAAACATCACTTAAATAAACTTAACAACAAATAATAAAGTACGTTGTTATTTTTTTTTACGTGAGAGTTAGGATCTTGGATGCGTCGGAATCGTGTGTGGTGCGTGAACGCAATGGGCAATGTGTGTGTAGCGTGTGAGAGGGGGTCAAACACGCGTGTGTCGCAAGCGTGACGCGTGAGTCTCGCTGGCCCTGCGAGTGCGGAGCGGCGCTGGTTGCTGAGAGGTCGTCCGTGTTCCCCGTGCAGAGCCCAACTCACGGTATAGGCAAACGCTGGGACCTGCGCTCTTGGCTGGAGGGGCGCTGCCCTTGGTGCTGGTCATTATGGCCGTGTTCGCCTACAAGTAAGGACGTGTACATTCACGACAAAAAAATGTGTGCATTCACCTCTTGTGATATTTAGGGGTATGTGCAAACCCAAAAACGAGACGGCTCTAGGTTATGTGTACCGGGATGTCCCACATGAATGTGGAGCTTTTTATTCCGCACTCTCGCACTTGAGTGATATTATTGCATTGACATTTTATAGGATTTGCATTGCAACAGAAACAACAATGACCCACATCACACTAATGTTAGAGAGCCTGGGGCACACACGCTTTCGTGTGTCGCTACTGGAGAGCTGTGTTTTAATTGTGACTTTTTTCACAAACAACGAAACACATTCATCAATAACATGCACCGACCTACAAGGAAAAGTATATAATAGGTGATATTTTGGGCAATTGCCCTTATTCATAGCACGTAAATATCAATTAAATAGATTAGAAAGGCTTCTCTAAAGCGTTGCCTATTATATAGCTTTACACATGGGTCAGGAATTTAACTCCGGTCACGGTGTTGAACAGTGCACCGCATGAACCAATGCCTCACCATTAATTCCACTCACCATCAGTAACCAATTCAGATGAGATACAGGGCTTGTTTCAGTATGCACATGCTACCTTGGATCCTAATATTATACAGAGCGTCGTTTGGTTAGTGCATTGTTTTACTATGGGTCGGGTAACCCATGCTGCTTTAAGGGCAAAGCTGCAAGAATGATCAATTATGCGCATGGCACAATGATGCCCGTGTTGGATTTACACTCAAACACGGGACCGTTCCTCATCGGATCTCATCTCCCAAGGGCTTAATTATTCACGGAATCATCTTCTTGGTTCTTTCGGTAAAGTCACGTAGAATGGAAATAATAAAATAATAAAAATAAAACATAATAAAATAATTCTTCCAATTATTTTTTATGAGAATTATTTTATTATGTTTTATTTTTATTACTTTATTATTTCCATTCTACGTGACTTTACCGAAAGAACCAAGAAGATGAATCCCTGCAGTCACGAAAACTTTAAATCGAAATATATTCACGGAATATTTTCCCGGTTACTCGTCGACTGGAGTGGGCACACGACTCGTCGCCGCAGCCATAAACGAGAGCTATTCTGGATGTTGCGTGACAGGTGTTGAAATATTTTCCGGGTCAATGCCATTCTGCTGCACATCCCTCCGACGTGTGTTTTCCGGTTGTACCAACTGTTGTTGGGCATGAGCAGCTCACATTCCTTTCAATTCCGAAGCAAGCTCCCAGCACGTGGAGCGAAATCTTAGGACGCCATGCCGAGCAATACGTGGTACAACCCCAAAACGCATCGGAGAGCCAAAGCCCTATCTTCTCCGTGCAGACGGCGCCAACGACGCAACTCGACGATGCTGCCCTGCAAGGTCAGGGCATACATGGCTCCGAGCAGTGCTCACTTCATCACGCAGACGGGCCGCGTGCCCGGAAGGAAAGCGTTGGCTGAGAACAATCCGCTGCTGGACGCGTACCGACTCCGCCTCGTGTGACCGCGCTTGGATCTCCTCGTCCGTGGGAGGGGGGGGCCAGACCGGACGTTTCTTGTTCTTTGGTTTTTTCGGTAAAGTCACTTAGGTAAAAAAATAAAATTAATAAATCACTTGATACAGCTATCGTGCTGTGACGGTTCCACTTGAAGACGGAAGCTTGTGTTGCCTCCGAAACGTCGTGATTTTTATTTGATTTTACTTTTATGAATTATATTTTTTTACCTACGTGACTTTACCGGAAAAAACCTAAGAATATGAATCCTTGCAGTCACGAAAGCTTCAAATCTAGAAATACGGACGTTTCTTGTTCTTTGGTTCTTTGGGTAAAGTCACTTAGATAAAAAAAAGTGAATACAATTAATAAAAAAGAATAAAAAGAATAAAAAAGAATAAAAGCACTAATGTAGACTGTAGCCCGATTCTTAATCGGAGTGAGTGTACTGGCAATCTATAATGTAGACTGTAGCCTGGTTATTAAGTTTGGTGAGTGTACTGCTAGTCTATAATGTAGATTGTAGCAATGGTTATTTAGCTGAATGAGTGTACTGACAATCTATAATGTAGACTGTAGCCTGGTTATTAAGTTTGGTGAGTGTACTGCTAGTCTATATTGTAGACTGTAGCCCGATTCTCAATCGGAGTGAGTGTACTGGCAATCTATAATGTAGACTGTAGCCTGGTTATTAATCGGAGTGAGTGTACTGGTAGTCTATAATGTAGACTGTAGCAATGGTTATCAAGCTGGGTGAGTTGTACTAGCAGTCTATAATGTAGACTGTAAATTGGTTCTTCTTGTTTTATTGTAAACCTCAGAATGAAAAACAACAACAACATATGCTGCAGTACTGAGAGCATATCTCAGTTAATTGACCATATAAAGAAATTGGTCCCACTCGAGTGTTTCCACCTCTAGTTGTATCGATGCCTAGGGGCTATGAGATTAGCAATTGAAAAACCACCGAGTCTTCGCCCCCATGCCCGTCACCTCTTTCTTAGCCAACCTTAGTTTTCTTTAAATCGTGGTCTGCTCAGACAATATGCATGTAAGAATGAGTGCGAAAGTGCTACCCCCTTATAGAGGCCCCTCGAGAATCTCCGAGATCACTCCGTGATATCCACTTCTGTGGGATGTTCTCGAACATGAAAGGTCACACTGCTCTCTTAATAGATCCGAATAGATGCTGCAGCTCATTATATAATGCCGATAGCACAAACAGTAACACATTTTGAGAAAATTACCCGAAAAAAAAGATAACACTATTGTTTGTGATAAAATCCATAGAATAGCTATGTAGTGATCCAAAAATAAAATTGCTTGACGAGGATTGTTTGAACTGTGGTGTTATTTTTTTTTTATAAAGGTGAGTGTTTGGGTCAATGTTGTAATTGTTTGGGCTGGGGTCCAAATGTTAAGTTCTAGAGTAATGACTCCCTTGCAGTGCCATCGTGACAAAAAATTAACCCTAGAAATGTGTAATGCACAATTAGTTGAGCAATGGACTACTATAACGCAATACAAATGCAAACATAGCAATTAAGATTTATGGTTGGGTTTTACAGCTGAAAGTAAATTGAATAAATCACCATTGTCCCCTTAGTGATAGCATATATTTGACAGAAAATGGGACGAAGATGTTTCTTTACAGCACACCTTCATGTAACTTGCCGAGTGAAAACAAATATTTGTTACAAAGATTACGTTTTAACTCATGGGTTTTTTTCAGCAAACACTTTATTATACTAGCATCATGAATTTTTCCATGATTTATTATATACTTGTACTGCAGTCGCCAGAATAAATGCTGTGCTTAGTATTAACCATACCCCTGTTTTGGCATGCACAGTTTATTGCAGGTGAGTGTTGCGAAGGTGCAGAAGTATAAATGGGTACACAAAATTGTGTGGTTCGGGTATAGTGGAGGTCCTCCCACCGATTCCAACACGTCTGGTTGAGTGTAAAAGAGTAGACCAAACATTTCTCTCAAGATGAGCCCTCTGGAGCCTCATCTAATGGAGGTCTTCATGCCAACAAGTAATGTGAGCAAGACATTTGAAGGGTGACACCTTTACCGACACTTTGGTATTATCACATTAATTCACTGCTTGAGCGTTGCTGCTTCAATTGGTACCGATGGTAGTTTAGGCCCATACGTTACGTGGGTCTGCTTTGTTTGAATTATTTTTCATATAAACAGTTGAAAGCGCGTGATTGTTCAGTTGTTTTCATGATGCATGTGCATATGATAAATCTTCTTTCAAAAATAAACCGTGACCCGAGAGCCCAAGGCGACTTTATTTTGAGAGAGATTCACAATTGGTCGTGCCCAGACATCAGAGGCAAGATTTCCTGAGGCCTCCCGCATGACCACGATATAAACGCGCTTCGTCCAATCGCTTACAGACCAACTATAGTCTTGCTAAATGTATGAATATAATGCGTGTTCTCCGCACCCAGCAATGGCAAATTGAAATAAGTGACTCAATTATCCTCGCTTTATTGGTGCTTAAATAATTGGTGAAATACTCATCATCTGCTTTAGCGCATTAATGTATAATTTTAGAAATCCGGAATTAATTAGCTCTCTCCTGGTTATTACAGAAAGGACATGGGTTGTAATTGGACGCACACCTGTGCACAGAAAGTCACAGCGTATTTGCGGGCATTGAAAAAATAGGGCCTTTTCTGAACGCAAACCATACACGGTTGGTACGTACAGTGCGAAAGAGTTCAACGTACACACAAGGCTCAATTTGTTTCATGCGTTGTGTGATTATAAGAGTTATGGAAGCTAATAAATAATCAAGCCTTGGGAAAATGTTCTATCAATTACCAAAGAAATTATCATTCACACGTACGTTCAACAAGTAGTACAATTGTGTGTAGTGTTATTAAGGACATTTAAATACAATACCAATACAGTTATAATGGCAATACTCTTTTCATTTAGTATTATGGTTCACCTTTGACTGAGCTATGTGCCACCTTTAGATACTGCTTCAAAATGTTATTTTTCATGACATCTTTGAAGGAAACATGCTGTGATGTTTCCATCACTGACAATACAGTAAATTCTCAAGATGGGACTCTGGCCAGTAATTTCTTAATCAATACACCATACATTGACGATATAATTACTTTATTCATATATTACATAATACTTAGAAATCGTCATATATACTGTAGTCTAAAACAGTCAAATGTACTCTATATTTTAAGTGCAATCACTGGAAACAAGTTTTTATTGTAAATTGAAGGTTATTTGTAAACATGGAGTAATATGCACCATTAATTGAACAAATTAAACTTAGTGACAAGCTCTTGTGATATTTAATGTAACGGTATCGTTCATGAACATCGATTACAATTAAAAATACTGAACCAACACCTTCTTTATTGTTTTTATTGTAAACACAAACATAGTTAAAGAGCAAGAGCAATGACTAAGGTAACAATCAGTGAGTTATTTTAGCACCATAATTGTTGATTTGATTGTGGTTAAATTAACAAATGAATAAAACAAATCTATGTTGTTGATCCATTGCTCTATGACGTGTAAATTAAAATGTTTCCTCATCGTTTGAAACTCCTTTCATACATGCTGTTCAAGTTTCAAGTTTTCAAGTTTCATTTATTAGGTATAGCCCTGTGAGCCATGCGACTCTTGAGTCAGGTGCAACCGCAACAAACAAAATATGAACAGAGAACATCTTAAAGCGACGAGGCGCAACAGAAACATCCTGGCTAAATCAGCAAATCTTTAACTCCCTGATCCTATTCTCAATTCCACGCCAAAGAGCTTCCACTTTTCCTCTGCCTATGACTCAGTTGCTTGTAAAAAATAAATATCGAGATTCTGTACAGCATCTGAAAATGTGGTCACATTTAGACGAAATATTAGTTAAAAATTGCATCATATTAAATGTTGACTTAAAACTTTCGTGACTGCAGGAATTAATATTATTTGGATCTTTCGGTAAAGTCACGTCATCCTCCTGATGACGATCGCTTGTGTTGTGATCGAAACGTCGTAGTTTTTATTTACTTTAATTTTTTCTATCTACGTGACTTTACCGAAAGATCCAAAGAATATGTATCATATTACATGAACTTTACATGCTACTGCGGTGCTGCCAATATAATTTGCAGCATAGAACACAGGGGTGCCACCAAATTCCACTCATTTTTGCACCGTTATCTTAAAGCAAGATCCACAGGCTGGTGGTTGTTTATACGGAATTTACCGATGAGCGTACTTCACCACCAACACCACCACTATTTGCTGCTGCAGCCATCCTCCTTAACCCCATCACATCCAATATCCATAGCAGATGAAGACGAACAAGCTGCTCCTGCCTGCTCCGTCTCCTGACCCTTGCCCGCCGTCGGTGCTTTGCCGTCGAGGTAGCGAGCAGATCCGAGGGCCGAGCGCGCCGTGAGCGTAGGCCAGGAAGAAAGCGTGGCCCATCACGACGAAGGCGACGGACAGCAGCACGAGCAGACCGAACGCAGGAGGCTCGGGCGCTAGCAGCACGGCGGTGAAATGCAGCAGGTCGAGCAGGTAGTTGAGCGAGCTCTGCACGCCGCTCACCACGCCGCGCTCGTGCTCCGCAACCGTCTCCTGGAGCAGCTGCTGTCACCGTCAAGTCAAACGACCACAGCCCTGCCGGTGCCGAAAACGCAGACAGACTCGTTACAATGCAAAAGGGATGTTCGGCAATTGGCTTAACTGTTGAAGTCAGTTATGCGGTCAACTCCTCAGGTCGGAAATGCTGTGTAGAGCTTGTAAGGCATAGACATAGCAGCGTCTTCACAATAGCTGTCCCAGGTTGTTTGTGTAATCAGGTGAGAACTCACGGGAGCAGAATAGCCTCATTTGCGAAAGTAAACCCAGATCGTAAAAAATAAAAAATAATAACTATGAAATGAAGCAGAACCATGACGAAACAAAATCAGAACAAAAACAACTAAACATAAATTAGAGCAAAAAACATGCATTCGATATAATAATGTTGCGGATGCCAAATGTATTTTCTTTTAGTCATGAACGAGATACTCCCCTGTTGTTGTGCTATTTTTTGTAAAAACAATTATGAAAATGTATTTTTCTGGGAAAGCCTCACATTATCTTAAGATTCTCAGGTGGGTCCTGCATTGAAATCTTTGTCCAATTCCATTCAAGGGTATTAGTGATATCACTCAAGTCTCATAATAATACATGTGGGAGTGACACCCCAGTAACATCGCAAGAATACTCCTTTTTGATCATTAATGAAGCATCAAACTTCTTTTCAGACAGCCCAGTACAAACATCTGGTATAGCTACTAGAGAAGATCTAGTTTGTCTTTTGAGATCTGATCTTTCTTTACTGATCACGCTATCGCGGACTCACCGATTCGAGCCGCAATCACTCCAGTGAAGAGCAAGGCGACGGACACGTAGGAGTCCGGTGGTGCAAAATCCGGCTCATCGTCCCACGTCGCATTGGGCGCGACGCTACTCGACATCGTGGAAGCCACGAATTCACTTTGATTGCGCTGCACGGGCGCATCTGTAGAATCCCCCGTCATGCCGACCCCGAGCGAGCGGAACGGTGAGATCGACAGGTCCAACGGGCTGCCGGGTGCGAAGACGGACACGGCAGCAGAGAGAAAGGGCCGCAAGCTGGGCCACGCCTGACAGCAGCCCTGTGCGCACCAGCCCCACGGCCCGACGCAGCTGAGTGAACTACCACCGTGCCCAGGAGCCCCGCGACCGCCGACAGTGCTATGAGAATGCCGAGCAGCGAGGCAGAGATTCCCTGGGTATAGGCATAGCCCGTGGTGATGCAGTCGAAGCCCAGCACCGTCATGTAGAGGCAGGCCAGTCCCACACCGGCCAGGTACACGGGCTGCCGGCGGTACGTCACCCAGCCACGCCACAGCGTGCGGAATGGCTCCGTGACGCGAAGCCAGCGGCTTGTGGGCGCAGGCGGCTCCTCTTCCGTGCCCTTGCCGATGAGGGACTTGGCTTCAGGTGGGGCTCCTGTGAGTCAAATCAGCAACGTGGCGATCACACAAAGCACCCAGCTGCATATTCTTAGGTTTTTTCGGTAAAGTCACGTAGGTAATTTTTTTAAAAAATTATTTAAAGTAAAATAAAAATGAAATAAAAATCACGACGTTTCGGAGGCAACACAAGCTTCTGTCTTTAGGTAGAACCGTCACAGCACGATAGCTGTATCAAGTGAGAGAAATTCCAAGAAAACCGTCCTTGTATATATACTGGTTGAGGGTGGGAGGAGCCAAGGCAGGCTCCTGGATATTATTATTATTGTGAAGTTGGTGCAGCTAAAGCCGCTGCTAGGAATGAGCCTTTGTTGTGTAGACTGGTTGAACTGGCAGGTTCCAAGAGTTGGTAAGGTGCGGCTGATGTAAAGGTGCGGCTGCTGTAAATGGGACTGAGCCCTTTGTTATGTAGAGGTGGTGCGGCTGAACCCGCTGCTAGGAATGAGCCTTTGTTGTGTAGACTGGTTGAACTGGGAGGTTCCAACGAGTTGTTAACGGTGCGGCTGCTGTGAATCCTTGCAGTCACGAAAGCTTCAAATCTATAATTAACACCCAGCTGCATGCATCCCGACCGCTGAGGCTTGGTGTGGCATCCATCGTCCCAGCAACATGACGAGTCTGACCTGTCACGTCGGCCCCCAGTGGCTGCATCTCGAGTGCGGATGCCGGGGGCCACTCCGCGTTGCCCTTGTGTGCCAGGGCGGGCACGGCGAGGTACACACGCCGCAGCAGCCAGTACTCGACGGCCATCGAGCCGAGGTTCCAGACGGCCACGAAGGCGCAGGCCACAGAGGACGAGGCGAGAGACACCAGCTGGCCCACCGCCAGTGGCGCCAACACGTTGCTAACTTGGTCGATGCGCCGCAGAATGGCGTTCATGTCTGCCGGGATAGGTAGCAGCATTAGTGTTGCATTTAGAGCAGTGGCGGCTCCTGTAAAATCTCTCAGGGGGGGCAAATGTCTGGATGATTGATAAGGATAAGGTCCACCCATGCAATGGATAAATTAACAGCTTAAGCATGTAAAGGCAACTTCACTTCTTTAATATTCATGAAAAATAAAGTGACTCTTACAATACATCTTGTTTGTTTCTATACTCACTATTAATACTAGGTGGCGACAAATTATATTGTTGGATGAAACGTGCTTACGTATGATGACGTAAGCACGTTAGTGCGAGCCCTCCCGGAAGCCATAGAGAATGCATTGGAGCGCCCGCCGTTCGAAAAAAACATCTTTGAATGTAAGTCTATGGGGCCACTCGGGGCGATTCTCAGCCGGAGTGAAATCGCCCAAAAAGAGGCGGTACTCCACAGAACGTGACATGACGCTGATTGGACTATATCCAGAGGCACAGTGACGGCTAGCGTGACTCTGTGGTTGAATGACATTGGTGGTGCGTCGCCCAATCGCCCTAATGAAGAAACCGCCCCTGATTTAGAGGGATGGGTAATGGCATTATTTCTGATTCACTAGGGGTGGAATGGCGATTTAAGCACTGCCCTTGGAACCTGGATGCCTGTGTTCGATTCCCAGCCACGGCCGATATCACTGGCAAGTGATGTCATCTCATTGTGAACCTTAAAAAATCAGCGGAGGCATTTTAGACATCCATACAGATTACCCCGAGGGTGTGCTTTGGTTACCAAACCTCCACATGGCGTTATGAGTTGCTATCCCAAGCAATACACAAGAAGAAGAAGTGGTATCAGAACTTGTCCTGGCCCTCCAATGGGTTAATTCAGCCTAGCATGGTGTATAAACATCAGCTATTGTTGCCTTTACAACTTCTCACTAACAGCACCGTAAGTGGTCAAACGGTGGTGAGCACATCGTGCTATAAACTAGACAACCTACATTTGATTCCCGGCCATGGCTAAAATCAATGGCGAATACTATCTAAACTGGTCCTGCGCACCTTCCCCACCAACCTATACCCTCCGGAGTGGTAAAGTTTGGTAAATTTCCCCATGACTGATACAATGTGGAGAGGCCCTTTAACTACCAAGTGGATTGCCAAAGGGCTATAAATGAACAGCACTAACATCAACAATATGTAAGGCTATACGGGAGGATCTATGTCTTTGTGCGTGATTGGACCTGCCAGTCGTCCGCTGTGACCCTCTGCCAGCACCACCACCCAGTCGCGCTGGATGGTGATCGTGGTGGCTGTGCTCGCGAGGTTGGCCACGTTTGCTGTGCCGATCACCACCACGTAGCAGAAGACCTTGAGTCGGTGTCAATCACTGCATGCAGGACCAGAGTAATACCTTTACACATGCAAAGCACTAGCCACCATTGTCATACATAATCGTTTAGATGGCTAGACATCCTGGCATCCTGCTTTATTCTGTGATTTGATCACTTCTAATAAAGACACTTCGCATTGAGTTGATGTTTAAATCTCCACACCTGTCTGGCATTTTTAGCTGGATGTTACCAAGCCAGCCATCTGCTGTTGAGTGGTTGGTGGTCTTGCTTTGACATCATTCAAATAGCGGTTCCACTTTGTGACATTGTCACGCCCAAATAGCGAACAGGTGACAAATACAATTAATAATGCCCTTCATCCAGGAAACCTCACTGCGTCTTGGGAGCATTTTTCATTCAGGTTTTGAATTGAGACATTTTGCCAATTCCAATGTGGAAGGAAACTGGAGTACCCAGAGAAAAAAATCTATGCATACGAGGATATACCATTCAAAGCTCGATACAGTTACATTCAATTCAATTATGTACTATCATCTCCTGACCAGCTAGCAGTCAAAATTTACAAAACTTGGTATTCAATTGCAGTCTCCCATCAAAGTACTAACCAGTCTCACTTCTGCTTAGCTTCCAAGATTAGACAAAGTCTGGTGCGTGAAGCATGATTTAGGCTTAGGTAAGTCATCCTAAATGACTATGTGTTAACATTAGTACTAAATGTTAGAAATGTCTTGTTCTAAAACAGATAATAATTACTCACAAATATTGCACCCTTTTGCCTTTATAGACTCCAAAATGCTTATTCTGTGACACTCTCTTTGAACGGACACATTGCATGCCTTCAAAGGAATTACTGACATCAGTGTGGTAATGTCAAGGAGTAAAATATTAATATGTAGTTGAACATTGTCCTCCCCATTCCCTGACCACACACATTTAAAAGTATATTGGATGAACTTTATGAAGGTGTTACCTTTACCATAAACTACAGACTTTCCATGTCTATTATTTACAAAGCTTATTTTAAACTTAAGGGCTTCATAAGACAGATATAATGTATTAATATCAAAGAACCTTACGATCAGCCAGCCATCCCATATGTTGGAGATGTCATTTCTATACATGAAGATCATCATCAAAACGATGCCACAGAAAATGACAGAGGAGTTTTGTATCACGAGCGATGTCTGCGCCACTGCAACACAGAAACAACAACACAGTCATACAATGGTGAACCCGTGTGACATTTCACTGGTAATATCATAAAGGACAGGACATGCACCACCAAAAAAGTGGGATTTTGATTTGAACACCCATCATTTTACATGTCTACAAGTGCCTGCATGTAAATTGTTGACTAAATTCCCCAAAACAATATTAATATTTGATCTCTTCGGAATAATTAATTGTCAATAATGATATTATTTGAGTCTTTTGGTAAAGTCAAGTAGATAGGTTCAAAAAATAATAAAAGAAACAAAAAACTATGACGTTTCGATCGCAACACAAGCGACCGTCATCAGGTGGAAAAAGGGGAGGGAACCCACTAAAGGCAACGCTGTTTACAAGGTTTAAAATGGGCGTGGCCCAGGCGTCCTGGCATCAGAACGAAGTGGGCGGGGCACAAGCGCCCTGGGGTCAGCACAAGCGGAGATGGTTATGTTCATGTGAAATCGTAATTAGGAGAGGGGGAGCCGCATGAGACGTGGATGAATTAAGAACTTGTGGTACGCCCAATGCAGGGGCGATACCGCAGGAACTGGAATTGCTTGTCCCATCTTTGGCAAAATAAAACTAACATCGGAAGTTGACAAGATGTAAACATCACAGCCAGTTATGACTTAAACTGGTTGATGACTTCCTTCCAATGATTTCTGAGTTTGTACCCATCCTCTCGGTTGAAATTGTTTCTGTATATATGGATGGCTTCATGAACGAATCTTTGTTGATATCCAGAGAAATCAATTTCGGGAGAGCCAACCGCATTAAAACAATGATCAGCCACGGCTGAGGTGTTGGTCCTCCCGTGTTTCAAATCTGCCTTATGTTCATGAACACGATCCGAGACATGTCGCTTAGTTTCCCCAATATAACTAATGCCGCAGACACAGCTTAGTTTGTAGAAGCCGGGTTTATTTCATGTCAGGGATATTATCCTTCCCAATTTTATGCACCGTGTTAAATCGAACCTGGATCTTGTGTTTGCGCATGATTTTGGAAATATTTTTGGTGACCCCTGCTATGTATGGCAAGGTTATGGTTTTGATTGGGTCCTCAGATGGCTCTTTCCCAATGGTTGGGGTGATAGCTTTACGGATTGTGTAGTCCAAATATCCATTCGTCTTGAGAGCTTGGTGCACGTGTTTCAGTTCACTTGCTAGGTGATGATGGTCGGAGATACATCGAGCTCTATGGTGTAGTTTTTTATGAGGGAATTCTTCTGGGATGGGTGGTGGTGGGAGTCGGAGACACATCGAGCTCTATGGTGTAGTTTTTATGAGGGAATTCTTCTGGGATGGGTGGTGGTGGGAGTCAGGTTTTAGGTAGGCATCATTACGGGTTGCTTTCCTGTAGACAGAGTAGCCCAATCATTAATCAGCTGATGTGTGGTGCTAGATTTACTTTCTTGCTACATCGCAGGACAACGAGAAATGGAGGTGGCTTGGGGAGGTCTTTATCCAGCAGTGATTTATCGTGGCTTATATTGGACCTTTCCGGCTTTCGAGAACACACATGCTGTTACACCGCTGTGAGACTACGCTTCTCTCTGCCTCACCTTCACCAACCCCCACTGACCAGCATTGTGACGTGTGGCCAAACAGGCCCTCATCCAGCAGCGGATTGACAGAAGGGCTGTACATGTAATGTAAGATATACTGCATATAAGCAGGATTCCACTCTGTGCCTCCACATATAAATACAATACGTGTTAAGTGCGGCTTATTGTAACTCCAGATCAATGGTATCGAGCAGCATTTGTTTAACCAAGCAAACTCTAGAGTGGTTCCAATCTTCTGGGTCTCATCAAAAGAGCCAGGCTTGTTATACAAATGCTGCCATGTTGCCCGATGTTAGTTGTCAAGAACAATGCAAATAAACCATAGGTCCCTATTTAACGCAAAAAAGCATTACAGAAAACATATGGACTACGCGTTATTGTCGAGCACTACGAATGTAAGCATGACACTGGGCAAATCTATGACGGCGCCGCTGATGACCGAGTACCCTTGATCCTGGAGTTGGTGTCCACCCAGTGGCCAATGAGGGCCCCGCATATCAGCACAGAGAATGCCACCACCAGCCCGTACGCTGCCGTGAGCAGCAGGCTGTTCCCGTAGAGCTCCACGAGGAAGAGAGCCACCGCAAAGTGCCACATGCGGTCCCCCTGTTCTCACGCAGCACCACCACCACCCACCACCACCACCGCACATGTGCTCTGCTCAGTGCGGTCACTTGAGTTTGGTGAAGATCTGTGCCATCCCCCCCCCCCCTTGACAAAATCTGTAGTGGTGCTAGCCCTTTAGGGATTCTAGTTCTACACAGATATCTGTGAACTGGACATCTGTGAAACCTACTGAACAGCTGTGAAAAAGAGCTTCATAGCTCATCGGATTACTACAGTAAAAAAAAAATCTGATTCTGAAAAAAAGAAATTCTGATATTATGTTTGGGTGCATGTATGTTAAACTTCTTTCGCACCGTACATAGCCAACCGTGATAATCGGAGGTGCGGGGGAAGGACAATAAACCAAATAAAAATAGCTGTTGCAAAGAAATTGGTTTCAATCTAGATTTAAAAGTGCCATAGCTCCAATGGCTTCCTAATATCGTAAGGAATGCACATATCTAAATGGTAGTACTGTTGTGTGAAACAAATAAAGTAAAAGGCTAATTACAATTATTTTAAGTGTTATTAGCATTATGGGAATGTTTCTGTTTACAAGCATCTGAGTTCCAGCTAATATTTGGAAGCACCCCTATTATGTCATCAATCCAAGGACAATTGAGTTACTTACTAGTGGCCCTAAGCTGTTAGTCTATGCCAGCACCACCAGTGGGGAACGTGCAGAGAAGATCTTATGACGATGCATTATTATATTACAGTATATATCTGACCTGTTTCATATATGAAGCTGATGCTCCCAAACTTATGAAAAAACAATCTGAAGATATAACAGATCAAATCATTAATATTGATTTAACTTAAATAATGGATATTGAATTAATACTGACTTCACTTAAATATCTGATTACACAGTATTTTGTGTAATTATAGCCTCCAATACATTATTACATGCAATTCATTACAGAAAAAAACGAGTTTTGCATTTAAGAAACACTTTTGTATTATTCATATGTACAGCAGTTCTATGTAATATTAGAGAACGCACCCATGTTGACAATGCATGACAGATGTAAATGAGAAACCTTGAGGACCTCAAGAATCTCAACGTGTTATCTGCAGACAAGGAACGTTTAATACACAACAAAGGTAAAGCATAAGCCACATACGTAAAAATGTTTTATCTGTATATCTTGTAAAAAAAATCTGTGCAAGAAATACATTATTCCATCATATTATAATACGAAAAAACTTTGCAACCGACAAAATATTCAATACAAGCATCAGTCACCACAAGGCACAATGTGGCATACAATACATCGAATTCAGAGACCTTACCCCAGCAAGTCACCGTCTCCGCATCTCCCGCAGGTAAATCTCTTTCACTATGTGTATTTCTGGAACTCATGTTGCGAGAGTTTCTCTTGAAATAAAGGTGGCAAACCTAATGTGCGGGTCTAGTGAACAGACACTATACAAAACAATCTTATATTTTATATTCGTATTGGATAATAAATTGTTACTTCCAATTATACCCCAACAGTACTCTTCACAAAACTGTGAAAACGTATACCCTGACAAAACTGTGCATGCCTACACAGGGCAGACCATCGCTGTGAAGTCGTCTATGAATCATCATCTACGTAACAGAGAATGCATACAAAGTACTGTGCTGTTGTAAACGTGATTCATAAAAAAAACTAGCATTAGTTGGTTCAAAGGTGTTCCATTTACTCCAGCGAGTTAAATATTGCAGGTGTCCATGTGCGCTCACCTTCTCACGTGTGGCGGAATCATATATTTACATCGCAGTGGACTTAGTAATAAATGTACGAATAGCCAAACGTGGCATACAATACTAAATGTACATGCTGCTTAAGCATACATTCAGATAAATAGCAAACATAATTTAACAGGGCAACGTATATCATACTGTGAGATTTAATGTGCAAACCCTCATGAATTGAACTGGCTAAACGTTGTAAATCCAGAACGTTCTGCAAAAGGTTTCAATAAATACTGATAATTAAGAATATGATTTCGTGTGGCAAGCAGTATAAACCTCTATTGGCAGTTTTCAACATAGTTACACTTCAATTTACATGATCTTATTCCTCAAGAATGTTTACTGCATGCACGTAGGTAATATATTACAGGGATGTCAACATATTGTAATTTAAAAACTAGGAGTCACTTTCAATAGACACAAATTATATATTGGTACAGTTACATTTGCATCTAGAACATCCACTGGAGTTGGTTCAGGGGCTTGCAAAAGATGAATCTGCCTATTTGTATTTGATGAGAAAATAAGCTCATCTACACAACATTAAGCTCATGAATTCTGCCTTGAGGCAACGGTTAGCACACTAGACCTGCAATCCGAAGGTCACTAGGTTAGATCTCCCAGCCACAAGTTGAAATCAACAAGTTTGTTAAATTCCTCCATACTTCTGTTCACCCAGGAGTATAAATGGGTACACCATACTCTTTGGTTTTTTCGGTAAAGTCACGTAGGTTAAAAAAGAGAAAACAAATAAATTAAACTGCAACGTTTCGAAGGCAACACAAGCCTCCGTCTTCAGGTGGCACCGTCACAGCAACGAAACGTCGTGATTTAATTGATTCGTTTTCTCTTTTTTAACCTACGTGACTTTACCGAAAGAAACAAAGAGTATGGATCCTTGCAGTCACGAAAACTTCAAATCTGGGTACACCATAGTTAGTCACTCGTGCGGTGGGGCAAAGCGTGGATACTCTCATCTCTTCCAAGACGTTAGGTCATTTTTAATCAGTAGGCCAAAAATAGCTGCTAGTAGAGACACTTATAGGTGCAACCCTGCAGTTGCTTGTTCATGCAAAAGATCAATCCTCACATTGGCACTAACCTCATAACACATGCAGTGCATCTGCCAAAATGACACAGGAGGTAGTTTATCTTTTATTGGCCTCTGTAAATTGAACTTAGCGAAGATAGCTGCATACGAGAACCTTTACCACGAGGATTAAAAGCCAGCACGTGATGGGCACGTGGTACAGGTACATTCTTGTGCTTCATGTGTGGTCACTGAGTTGCTCAATACATATTCTGCTTTCAGTATTTTGTATATATATTATGCCAACAGCGTTGCCATTGTTGAGTATATAATAATCCTTCTAACATATTATTTTGTTGTGTCATCTATTGTCATGTTGAGATCTGGATAGAGAAGTTTCCTGAAATAATGTCCAACTGTTGGCTCCGGATGATTGAGAATGGATTTTACGTATTATTTCCAGAGTTTGACAACTTTTCCATGAGTCCTGATCATTTTACAATATTGATATCTGATGAATCCAACTTATCATGTCCACTTACCACAGTTCCTTGACTATCCTAAATCGTTTTGGATTCTCCTTTCTTTGCAGATTCTTCAGCTTCAACTGTTACTTTCAGAAATCACCCGTTTTTGTCTTTAATTGTCCTTTTCTCTCTACAGTGTTTATGCTTCTGACTTTTGCTACCCTGCGATATAGCTTGTGATTAATTTACAGGGCAATTGCTTTCCATGTTGTTTCAGAAATCTCTTCTCTCTTCTAGAACTCGTGACTTCTTGAGCCACATCAATCAGGTATGGATATATGACAAGCACCACGTGACTCTAGGGACGAGATTATAATCCCACTTCCCTTGAAGAATTACCTGAGCACGATGCGTATTTTTTTTAGGTCCAGGTTTTTAGTTAACTCCATATTCAATTAAGCATTAACCACAACCAAGGGCACTTACACTTTTACTGCAACGACTTCACCTTGTGGTAAACTGCACTGTGCGTGCCTCTTTCGCTAGGGTTCAGCAGCGTCAGCACATTCAACTTTCCTCAACATTACACATATTCTGTCTATGTTCTACCTTACTCAAATTTGTAAAAGATAACACTCATCATGGCAGAAAATCCATAAAGTGTGAAAACTAAAAATATTTAACAACACACAACGGTGTGCATTGCATGTACAAACGCTCTCAAGCCTTATCCACACCACCAGTTTGAAATAACTAAATGTGTGGCCATTATCGTTTAGACCACACACTCAATACGTGAATAAAATGTGGCCACATTCCAACGGGCAGAAGTGAAACAGACGCAACTTTAGACCGGTTTTCGTTTTCATTAAGGCTCATCAATACAAGTAGAGTCATCAATGTTCCTTGTTGCATTATGCCTCTGGGTGCCCCATATATGAAATGGCTTTAATTTTCACTGCTTATTGAGTCATTGTTGCCTTCAGCTAAGTGATAATCGGACCTCGCAGTGAGCATCTTAGTATACAGTCCTGTACTATATACAGGGTGCTTCAATTTTTATTTTATACTTCTGAGAATTTGTAACAACACCACAAGAAATGTGCCTGCGGCACAAGCAGAGACTCTTTGACTTTTTGAAGCGATTAACAAACATTTGATTATCATTTCACAGTGTAGTATCCGTTCTTTTTCCATTAAAACAACCATAGTCCCATATGAGTGTGAACCTGTTTTGTATTTGCTATTTGTGGGGCTGAATGTCTCATCTCCGCCCTCTGCTGGTTTCTTGTCACAATACAATCAACGCCGCGTCCTTGGTTCAAGCAAAGTTGTCCCGGAGCAACATTTATCATTTTATCCAAATGCAGCATCAAACGTAAAATAGCCTAAAAGTTCAAACACACACACACATTCATATAATCGTAACATCACGACAACATCAGCAAAAAAAACCAATGACAATAACAACGACAACGATGAGCAACTTCACACGAACGCTACGCGGTGCGAGCCTCACGGTCTCCGGCCTCTCTCGACTAGTCGCCCCGCGGGGCTGCCGTTCGCCCTCGCGGGCAGAGTCCGGCGGAGCGAGCCGTAGGCCCCAAGCGGTGGCCACGGGCGGTGCACCTAGCCTGGTACTGGGCTTGGAAACGAGCTGCGACGAGACGGGCGCGGCGGTTCTGTGCGCTCGCAGCGGCGCGCTGCTGGGCGAAGCCCTCCACTCGCAGAAGGAGGTTCACGTGAGGTGATGGGAATGCCTCGTTCATAGATGTTTGTGCTTTATACCGGTAGGAACCTCCTGGTTGCACCAGCCCACAGGGGATTGTTGTGTCCGTCCGTCCGTCGTGAAGGGAGGGGCTGGGTGGGTTGGGAGGGGAGGGTGGGGAGGGGCTGGGTGGGGAGGGGTGGGAGGGTGGGGAGGGAGGGGCTGGGTGGGGAGGGAGGGGAGGGGAAGGGAGGGAGGGGCTGGGTGGGGTGGGGCTGGGTGGGGGCTGGTAGGGAGGGGCTGGGTGGGGGTGGGCTGGGTGGGGAGGGGCTGGGTCGGGAGGGGGCTGGGTCGGGAGGGGGCTGGGTGGAGAGGGGGCTGGTCACCCCGTGGTGCCCTTATAAAACTCAACGTTTAACCTACTCACGCCGGCTTGTGCCCGCCCTCACAGTCGGGCATATTTGCGGAATACACCACGCCGCCGTTGACCCTGCAGGCCATTGACCGAGCAACTCAACGTTCCTACCAGCTCCCTCCGCAGGAATGTGTTTTTGTGTCACGTTCGGACGCCACGGGGTTGCTATAACGCTGTGACTGTAACTTTCAATTGTGGGTTTTTCTTTCTCCTTCCCTCACACTGACTGACATCAAGACAGCGCTGTGTATTTTCAGTTTTGTTGTAAAAGTATATCCTGGAGCAGAGGGAAACAAAACACGTTTTCCATAAGTTGTAGCTATATAATAATGTCATGTTTTCACGTTTCAGTAATTTCGCTTTGCACGTACGGAAGCGGTTGCTTGCAAGTCACAGATTTCATAAATTAGCTGTAATTTTAAAATGATCATACAAGAATGTTCGTACGTTTAAAAAGTCAAAAGTTGTTTCTTGCTCAAATGAGCATTGAGGCGGTGCTCATCTGTTTGCAGCCTTGATCTCGTAGTGGTCATTCCATGTTCATATGACGGGGCGAGTCTCTCCATCGTACAGCCACTGTTGATTTCCTCACAAAGTGGTACCGATATTTTTACACAATTTTATTGTTTTGTTATCAACCCCCATGAGTGATGAGTCAATTTCCTGTAGCACTGATTCTTCACGTTCTGCCGACGTAGGTGCCACTGATTCTTCACGTTGTGCAGATGTAGATGCCACTGGTTTTTCATGTTCTGCAGATGTAGATGCCACTAGTTTTTCATGTTCTGCAGATGTAGATGCCACTAGTTTTTCATGTTCTGCAGATGTAGATGCCACTAGTTTTTCATGTTCTGCAGATGTAGATGCCACTAGTTTTTCATGTTCTGCAGATGTAGATGCCACTAGTTTTTCATGTTCTGCAGATGTAGATGCCACTAGTTTTTCATGTTCTGCAGATGTAGATGCCACTAGTTTTTCATGTTCTGCAGATGTAGATGCCACTGATTCTTCACGTTCTGCAGATGTAGATGCCACTAGTTTTTCATGTTCTGCAGATGTAGATGCCACTAGTTTTTCATGTTCTGCAGATGTAGATGCCACTAGTTTTTCATGTTCTGCAGATGTAGATGCCACTAGTTTTTCATGTTCTGCAGATGTAGATGCCACTAGTTTTTCATGTTCTGCAGATGTAGATGCCACTAGTTTTTCATGTTCTGCAGATGTAGATGCCACTGATTCTTCACGTTCTGCAGATGTAGATGCCACTAGTTTTTCATGTTCTGCAGATGTAGATGCCACTAGTTTTTCATGTTCTGCAGATGTAGATGCCACTAGTTTTTCATGTTCTGCAGATGTAGATGCCACTAGTTTTTCATGTTCTGCAGATGTAGATGCCACTAGTTTTTCATGTTCTGCAGATGTAGATGCCACTAGTTTTTCATGTTCTGCAGATGTAGATGCCACTGATTCTTCACGTTGTACAGATGCCACTTGTTTCTCATGTTCTGTAGATGCCGCCACCACCGCCAGCTATTGCGCGGCGTTTGAACTAACAACACTCAGGCCGAACAGTCAACTGGACATACGGACCAGGTTTGTTCGTATCTCTGGCGTTCCCTGTATGTTTTCCACCAGGAATGGTGGCATCATCCCGACGCTAGCGCAGCAGCTGCACAAGGAGCACATCGATGGGGTGGTGCAGGAGGCGTTGAGGGCCAGCGGTGCGAGCCTCTGCCACCTGCATGCCATCGCCACCTCCGTGCGGCCCGGCCTGGCGCTCTGTCTGGCCGTGGGGCTGGAGCATAGCGCCCTGCTGCTGGAGTGCGCCGGGCCGCACGTCAAATTCATCCCCATCCACCACATGGAGGTGCACTTGCGTGCAAACAAGGGCTGTTGGTACAAGGCATCATCACTTGGTCCGAGTGGGCATTCTACGAATGACCCCCCCCCCCAACCCGAGAGATTTGGGGAATATTTCATAATTCGTGGTCGTGATTTGATGCGAGAAGTAGCGTGTATGTCTCGTACTTCTTTGTTCTGACTAATTTGCACTGTTTTGTTTTTGTCCAATTACCTTATTGAAATACCAGCAGTTAATTTGGGGTATTAATTACATAATCTGTAATCAAACTATTCTTCCATGCATGAGCCAATGCATGTATTTCTAACTCAAGAATACATTTTAATACATCGATTGTTACATGCCTCATACCTGGCACTCTTATGAATGATTATACAGTACTATTATTGCAATCTTTGGCAGTCTACTTTTGCTCCTAAGTGTGGATTTTCTTTGTCAGTTCCCATGACCCAAAGTGTGCCTGCCTGTGGGATAGTTTGCTTGCTTTGCTTTATACCTACATATAGTAGATACTATCCAATATAAGCATTGTTGATTGACACATTCAACTGCCATTTTCTGATTCCAGAAAGGCCTCTTTGCGTCGATTCAGCTGCATTTTTTACCACAATATGACTTTGAATGTATTGCTCTCTCTCTCCTCTCTGGGTATCTGGTGCGATTGTTTCTATGTGGTCAGGCCCATGCACTGACAGTGCGGATGATGCAGCAAGTGGAGTTCCCATTTCTGGTGCTGCTTGTGTCAGGTGGGCACTGCCTGCTTGCTGTAGCGCGAGGGGTCAATGATTTCCTCCGGCTCGGGCAGACGCTGGATGAGGCACCTGGAGATATCTTCGACAAGGTGCTGACATGTGGAAATATTTTTTATATGCTGTGGCGATTTATGAAGCAATGGTGTTGCGTTTTGGTGGGTATTACATTTAGCTAGGACATGCGATAATAGATGGGTAAAATTAGCAAGGGAATAGGGGCTGATGGAGGAAAGGATTAAGAGAAGTAGAGAGAACATTTGATGGTGGGATGAGATTAGAAGATTAGGAGCTTACTGGATGGAGGTGGTAAGAGATTGTGAGGAGTGTAAGATATTGGGTGTGTTGCATTTTAAAACATTAATCTATTTATATATATTTTAAATGTACAATCATTGAAGTTGTCAACTCTTATCAAAGTGTTTTACAACACACATTATTTCTGTTTTCTGCAGGTTGCCAGGCGTTTATCGCTGCATAATATTTCAGAGCTCTCTGCAATGAGTGGTGGTCAAGCCGTGGAACACATCTCAAAAGATGGGAACAGAATGGCGTTTCATTTTAAACAGCCTCTTGAAAAGTACAGGGACTGTAACTTTTCATTTTCCGGACTTCGCACCCAAGTCAGCCAAACAATAAAGCAAAAGGAACTTGAAGAGGGTAATCAGATGCAGGGGAAAGACTAAAATGCACACTGTATGACTCTTTTTGTCCTAATAGCAGTTGAGTGAATATGCTGTATTTGGTTCATGTTCAGGAACTGTTGAATCTGTGATAACAATGCAAGTTCTTATGTATCATTACAGGAATTAAGGAAGGACAAGTATTAGAGTGTGCCAGTAGCATCGCAGCGGCTACTCAGTACACTGTGGCAGCACACATCGCCAAGCGCACCCATCGTGCAATGGTGTTTTGTCTGCAAAACTCCCTCATCCCTACGGACAATCCAACATTGGTGTGTTTGATGCAACTTTTTTGGCTTTACCACAAACGCTGCCGTCAAAAAATGTCATCCAAATGTTAAACAAGTACGTTTGGGTGGGCCCACAGGTGGTGTCAGGTGGTGTGGCAAGCAACAGCGTCATAAAGGAAGCTTTAGGGCATGTGGCTACTGCTGTAGGATTCTCTGTCATCTGCCCTCCCCCACATCTCTGCACCGACAATGGCATCATGATCGGATGGTAAGCACTTACTATTCAGAGTTATTGATTTTCAAATCTTGTCATGTCATTGAACTGATAGACAGTGCAACATTAGCCTTCAATACCGTTTTTTTTTCAGGAATGGTGTAGAGAGACTGCGTGCCAACGTCGGGATACTTCCAAATGCAAATGGAATTCGATTTGAACCCAGGTGAGTTGGCATCACTGGCACACAACTCTTGACTTTTAAAAGTAATGCATTGCGTGAAAGTGATCTTGTGATCTCACTTTACAGGTCTCCCTTAGGAGTGGACATTTCTGAACAAGTATCAAATGCTTCAATCCGTGTGCCATTGGTTAATCTCAAAATATAAGATACTTTGAAAAAAAAAACCCGAGGAGTACACGATGTAACACATTTACTTTGGAGTAATGGATTGTTGATTCTGTACTGTAATAAACATTTTTAATTCAATCTCGTGTATTTGATTTAAAGTATAGATACATGTCATATATAGCACCATTAGCCAACAGAATTGGTTATATCGGCTATGGGGATGGCACAAATGAGCCAAATTGTTGGTCTTTTATGCAATTTGTGAAATGCCTTGTAGAAAAAAGACAAGGCTAGTGTGGCACACTAATCATTCCCTGGGGTTAAGGGGGGTCCCATGAATAGCCTTTAGCCTTTCAACAACGCCAAGGCAAACATTCACTCCCAAGTACTGCGGGAATGAGTGGGGAATGAACATTTAAAGGACTCATTGACAAGACAAAACCGCAGAGCATTACAAATGACATGAATTCTGTGGCAATGCTTTTAACTCCCCGTGCCAATTATTAGACAACGGTCAGCAGGTGGCATCGCAGAGAATGAAATTGTTCGTGAACAGTGCGAAACTTGCTCAGTACACACGCAGGTGCTAAGGGGTTCGTTACTTTACAGTATTGCAACATGTCTACAGCTTGGGAATGTCTTTATCCAACAGTACTGACAGCTGCTGCTGATAAAGCTTGCTAGTGAGGCGTGTTCACGGCAATGCAGTTCCCTGGGTTTGAGCTTCCACATAGCTCATGGTCTACCCTTAACCGCATCTGCGCAAAGCATGGCAGGTGCGAATACCTGATCCACAAATGGACAATTTAAAACGCTCCAGTGTGCGACTGGTCATCCAGAACAAACCATACATTTGACGACACAATGCCCGATCCTGACACGGTTATTTGGCTTGTCTATTTGGATGTGAAATTGGAGTTGCTCTGCATCTAATCAGCCATTTGAAAGACGACTCCTGGAGCTGCTTACCTAGGGATGGGCGTTGTAAACCTTCCCACGGCTTTCAAAAGAAGTCCCATTATTGCATTGGATCAGCTACTCACGTTTCTCTCTCCACGTGCATCTATTGTGCTTTAAAAGAACTGACTCAAAAAATTAATGTTTGCACCCGATATGCAAAATTGCAAAATTATGAAACCAGACGGGGTTGACTTTAATCAGAACTGTTTTAATGTGAAGCATACTTAGTGTACTGCCTGCAGTTTTAAAGGATATTAGGGTGCAATATTGTGCATGTACATATTCTGTGTATGTATGAAATAAAAGCTGTACATTTTTTAATAGATTGCACCTGGATATCCTTTGCTCAGTATTCACAAGAATTTCTGAATCGTAACAAATGCGAAACGTATCGTGAATCTTTGGTTTATTAAAAGCTGAAAATATATTACATTATTTTTGTAATTAATGTATTCAGTTGTTACATGCATTGCAAATGCTGAAATTCTGTATCATTCTGAACTCAAGATATATATTAAAACATGCAACATTCACAAGGGTTTTTGCAATTAAAATAAGTATTGAACTATGTTGTCACTTTTATAATCACCATATTGTTATTACGGTAAATCATATTTCTGTATAAAATGTTAATGGTTGTCTAGTTTATGTGTCCTTTGTGGGCATTACAGTATTGCAGATGTGGTTTATTTAAAATGAAAGCACTTTCCAAAAGCACAATTGCTCAGAAAAATTAAATTATCTATGCATCGACTTAATGCCTTGACCTCAAACAAATATAATTCACATCAAGCAGCTTTTCCAAACTCAACCGCAAAATCAGATACGTGATATATGGCTCAATGTAATTTACTGCATATATATCTCTATCATGCATAGACTGGCATGGAGTGATGAGAGTAACATATCTTTTTTACTTTATCCATATTTGCTCCAACTTTCAAAGATCGTCAGTGCATTTGAGTTCCCTGTACAAAAATAACAAACCTTTTATGTTAGACACCAGCAGAACATGCAAGGCCCTGAGATGAATGTCTTGGATAAATGGGTCATCGATGCCATTGCTGCAAAGTATTTCAATGTGAGCATACAAGTGATTAAGAAACAAAAAAATGTAAATGTCAAAATGCAATCCAAGTTGGGGTCAGTAATCTGCGATTGTTTTAAATATAATCTTGCTCCTTGAAGCCACTTTGCTGAACAATCAACAAGTCTACGTAATTCAGGGACTGCCATGTATATTGCTCACCTGTGTAGGGACGCATCGCTCACTTGAGTTATCGACACGCAACTGAACATCACAATGCGTGCCATCTCAGTTACGCTGAAATCGACACCGACCCTGTTCAGTGGATCTCAGTGCTCACGCACATCGCTCCGCAGCAAATCTGTCGTGAAACAGCAGCCGGTCCCGAGTACAAAAAAAATTCTCATCAGCCCACACCTTCCGATACATTGGGATGTAAATCCAGCGCTGCCTGTTCACCTAAAACCATGCCACAGCTTCTGAATCACAGCAGCATCACTCCACACCACAAATGCAAATGAAGGCGAGAGATGGAAGCAAGTCTTGACTGCGGCCGACGTCAAAAATAAACATCTAATACAGGAGCCGACCGTCGAACCTCCCAATTTCAACCTTCCACGCTGCCAACGCTCGACCATCAACCGAATCAGGATCGGGCATGGCCAATGTGGCCACCTGATGCACAAATGGAGCATCAAAGATTCGGTGCGAGCACGGCCACATCCCAAACCATCAATCGCATTGTAAACACCTGCTGTCTTGATTCCTTCAAAGGAGGAATGGACGAGATCCACTGTGCTTAACAGCCAAGAGTGGATAACACATCTAAAATTACATCTTTTATCTGCTATGAATCCATACGAAAGTGACTGCCATTATACATTTCAGCTGATGTATTTCAGGTGGTGCATTGATGTCACTGTTATTATGCCAGTTAAGCTAGACTGTATTAATGGCATCATACATCTATAGACGTACGTAGATTCACCATGGCAAGAGGCCATACATTTAAGAGCTGATATTTAATAAACACACTTAACAGTGCTAGGTTATTGCTTTATGTTTCAACCACATATCTGGTCCACTTACCCTTCCAATCGGCATACTTTAAAGACACCACCACTTTTAACACTCTGAAACACGAGTTGTACATATCCTCTGAACCACTGGTCTTCCACATGAGTGCATTTTTTTCAGCCTGAAATTTTTAAAACTTCAGTGCACAACTTCCAAATTTCTGCATTTCGGTGGAACGTCTAAGGGTACGTGGCAGATAATGCACCAATGGTATATTTGCTCCATACCCAGTCACAGCCCACTCACGTCACACAGGCTAAGGACCGACCGTTGCCTCCTCCACATCGGATGCATCATTATTGCTGATGGTCCTCAGGCCACTGGCCCTGAGAGAGACGATGCTGGGGCAGGCCGTTAAGAGAGCCGACAAACCAGCGAAGGTGGCCCCCGTTTGGTCCAGGTTCAGCTGCGCGAGCACCGGCAAGCGCAGGTGTCTCAGGCCTGGGGAGGGAAGGGGGGCAGGGCAGTGCACAGCTCTTAATAAAGCCTGTGCCAAATATTTCTATACGGTACAAAACAGTGCAAAGAAATGCTATGCAGTGTCCTTGTGACACTTTAATCCATTTGTTAATTTATTCTTAAGAAAAATTAATGGAAACAATGTCATACCAAATTACCAAATGTTATGCCTTTCATGATTTTAATGAAGTGTCATTTATAAAAAGACAAAACATTCTCGGATTTGCCAAGCAATATGCAGAAATAAATGTTTAATTTAATTTACAGTCCTGTCAATCCACTACTGGATGAAGACCTCTGAAAAATGTGTCAATCACAGGGTTATTTGACAATATTTCATCAAGCTGATCAGTGCAGGCTGGTGAAGGTGGGAAGTCAGGAACAATTCAGATATCAATCGTCACTGACGTTTCGTGCACTGTGCTAAGTTCATGGCACAGTGTGCGAAACCATGCCACCACTCTGCCCTGAGTGTACTTAATTTCTGGCCAGTGTACGAATGTATAGAATGTGTCGCACCCTTGTCTGTGATGCGCGTGCGGCTCAGGTTGAGCTTGGTGAGGCGGTTGCAGTGGCGAATCCCATGCTTCAGGACACTGTTCCCCACATTCGTCTCCACCAGGCTTAGCACCTGCAGCATGAGAGATGTGGGAGTGCCACTGTGAGACGAGCAGGGCACTCTTCAACCACCATGTACATCCCTTTTGTCAATCCACTGTTAGATAAAGGCCCCCCCAATGCCTGTGTGGGTCATGGAGGGTTATTCGAGCATATGAAATAATTAACTAAATAGTTTCTTATTTTTTTGTATTAAACTTTTATTTTACCAGGTAAGGCCCAGAACTATATTAGCTCTTTTCAAAAGTGACCTGACCACAAATGATAGTTCAACAAAGTGGCATATCACGTGTAAATTGATAGCAGCCAAATACTCTAAACCCACGTTTATAAATGTGGGGGCAAAAACCGGAGGACCCAGACGAAAATCTACACGATCACGGGGAGACATTCAAACTCCAAATATATAGGCACCGTCAGGGTTGGGATCGAACACATATCCTCCTGTATACCAGGCACGCATAACACTCGTATGGGCTGGTGAAAGCAGGGACAACAGACGGTGAAGTATATACAGTAAATCAGCAGATTTTGCTGCTCACAAGCCATCATGCATGGTAGTCACCCATTCAAGCTCTATCCAGGCTAAAACCTCCGAGAACTGATGGGATCAGGTGAATTTCAGGTTAATTAATCACAGAGCTTAATACCATCATTCACCCACAAATATAAAAGTAAATGATTCAGAAGTCATTTCCATCTCTTATTGTCTCTCACACTGTATTTTCTGTAATATGTTTGGACAGAATACATCACCGCCAAGCAATTAATACCCAAGCACTTCCGATAATACATTGGCAACCGCAACCAAAATACATCTCTCACGATCAATTTGGAGGTCTACCTGTCACCCAGGAATGCATTAATGGCAAAAACATCTACAGCAGAATTTTCATAAATTATGTGATCTCTCTATTACCATAGCTATGTGGAGATAACTCTCTGTGGGGCATGAGCAGATGGCTAGTAATAGCGGCCAGTGACCTGCAGGTGTGGCAGGGAGACCACGTAGGCTGCCACACCGCGACTGGTGACGGGCGTGCGGTCCAGACTGAGTTCCTCGAGCAGTCGAAGACCACGCAGCTTCTCGAGGCCACAGTCCGTCACACGAGTGTTACTCAGCACCAGCTGCTTCAGGCTGGAACAGGGGACCAGGGTTAAAGGCAATTGTGAACAATTCATATCGTCTGCTAAAATAATTTTCAAGTCCTACGACCCAAAAATATTGTACATATCAGATAAAGGCTTCCGCACACCTTGTTGGTTATAGGTGTTGTGATAATGCAGATATTGAAGCATAGTACAATTAATTTTGGTGCAGTGCCTCCTGCTGGCAACTTAGTCCCACACCAGCCTACATCACCTATCCAGGCTGACCTCTGCATAGCTTCCGAGATCTGACAAGATCCGGTGCATTCCAGGTGACTTGGTCACAAGAAAAATATTAACTGGGCTTGAATAAGTCAGAGCTTATTTGAATAGCGGTGGTCAAATAACCATTTGCATGTATTGTTTACATCAGTGCTAAAAAATAATCCCCACTTATGCCTCAAAAGAAATCAATTACATGACATTTTAATATTGCCCAATTATTAATATTACATTTATTGTGCAGTGTACATCACCAGGAAACTTTAGAAGCAATAGCAGACTGCTGTTTATTATCCCAAGGGGACCTTTTGAGAGAACCCATTCACGTTGCATCTATATACGAAGAGGAAATGTACTTTTGTGACAAAAAATGAAAATCCACATCTGTTGTTGATCACTACAATGAGGCTTCTTGCAGTTGCTGTGTGCATGTGTGTATGCACACGTGTATCAACTCATAACACTTGGGTCTGTCCTGTGACCTCCTGTGACTTAAGACCTCAAGACTCCTTGTGGACTCGGAGTCCATCTCGCTTGGCAAAATAGCCATGGTGACATCACTGATATTTAGTGGTAAATGGAAGTTGCTGTGTGTGTGCACGTGCGGGTCCATGTGTATATGTATTAGTGGTTGTGTGTGTGTCCATGTGTGCATTACCCCTTGAGGCATGCAATGTGCTGTGCGCCGGCATCAGAGATGTGAATGTAGTCCGTGAGGTTGAGCTCTGTGAGCAGTGTGAGTCGCGTGATATGTTCCAGGCCTGCATCCGTCACGGTGAGCCTGCACGGCAGACGCAGCACGCTGAGCCTTAGCCCTGGTGAGAGGACACATGTAGGGCATGCGTGAGCAATGTTAAATGGAACACGGGTGGGATGTGTGTAGGGTGTGGACAAATAAAACGATGGCAGTGCCATACAATGCGCATTTCCGTAAAAAATATATTTTTTAAATAATCAATTTGAATATCGTTATCGTTAGCCAGATGACAGCCTCCCTAAAATTTTGCCATTGCACAAGCTACAGGGTTTTTTTTACACAGTTGAATGAAGCGGTGATGCAGCAGTTATCACATTGTGGTATGACCTGAGATTGATTTTTGGCTGCAGCTAATATCCGACATGGAATCAAGCGAATTATTAAATAATACAAATTACAATTCCTTATAGGGGAAACACATACTAATTAACTGATTACTAACGTAGCATATAATTACAATAACACACATTACATCTCATTACTAATCACAAAAATAGACTGATTACCAATCTTTTATACAATTACAATACTCCCCCCACCCCGCCTGAAATCGTCACACGTGCATGAGTTAAATGATGACGTCACCCTGCTGCTCTATTTAAGAACGGGAGCAAGTGAGGGCTTCACCATTCGGGCGAATTGCCTGATGATGCTGGATGTAATTACCAGTGAAACGCCGTACTCAAAAACTGTAAATGTTGTGGATTCACTCTTCAACACAACGGTGGGCTAAAGTAGTGAACTAGCAGTCTTTTGTCAACGTGACACTTTTTTTCTGATTGGCCGTGTCGGGTGGTGGAGGGTTACGACACATTTATAAATAACGCGATCTAACCAAACAACTTTATTATGAATATTGGTCGAGAAAGCCTACATGTTAAATGGAATCAAGAGGTCTCATCTACCAGTTGATTGATAAAGGGCCATGAAAAATAACAATATAAAACTATATATTATCCTATTGATCCAATAGTGTTTCTCAGTGCAGGCACTGTTCAGTGACTTACTTTACATGTGGATAGAATAGATAAGTAATCTTGAAAAGGTCAACCGTGAGAGGTCGCAATCGATGGGAGTTAAAAAAACACTGAGGTCAGGAAAAGTCTATTCTAATCCATGCGTCATTAAACAGGTAAATATCTAATATTTGGTTTACCAACCAATACAATCAGAGCCATAAACTGGAAAGGTAGTGCCATAACCTACTAGGTTATAAAGGCTCCACCCCGCAGGCTCTCCAGCTGATATCTACGTAGATGATAGCTGTAACTGCACAGCTTGAGCAAATCATTGCAGGCTTTCTATTGCTGTGTCACTAACCTGAGAGAAGACGCAGAGCCTGGTCGCCTTTAACTGAGCGAACACCAAACAGACTGAGATATGCGAGCGTAGGGTGGTCCGCTAGTGCGGCCAGCGACTCCTCGCTCACCGCCGTGTTGTCCAGGCTGAGTGCATGCAATGATAGCAGCTGGCACAAGCAGGACACGTCCACAACCTGGTGGATACAAATAATACATTGTGTTTTAGTTTTTTTTATGCTTTCCAACTAAGCATTAAAGGATGAGCTGTCTTTCGGAAATGTTTGGCTCACGATAACTCTCGTAATGGTCACCCAATATTAATAACATTTTAGTTTAAAACACTATAGAAAACTGATTACATTGATCTAAGGGTTGCCTAAAACCTGTTGATACATAACTGCACTATAATCATTTGCCTTACCGGCAAAGGCGATGATGTCATCACGCGACATCACACGTTTTACATTGTGTGACATCCCATTGGGCTGCTTGAAATATAACAGTATTGTCGCAAATCAAATACTTCCAAGGACAACCGTATACAGTAAAACCTTGGATTGCGACCATAATTCGTTCCGGAAACGTGTTTGTAATCCAAAGCACTCGTATATCAAAGCACTCGTATATCAGTTGTGATCATGTGACGCTCGGCAGACAAAGCGTATACGTACTACTCGTATTGCAAGACCTCGCTCGTTTATCAAATTAATATTTATTTAAAACATTTGCTCGTCTTGCAAAACACTCGCAGACCAAGTTACTCGCAATCCAAGGTTTTACTGTATTGGAAACATCACAGAATCAAAGACTACGTGTGATTTTCTTCCTTTTTTAATACTAAGAGAAGCTATTCATTTGATATGCTTAATTTTTATGCACGGCTGATCTATAGGAGCGCGCGATTGAAGAAGGCGACGAGTGACTGGGCTCCGTACCGCGGTGTTTTTGACGCTGAGTCCATGCAGTTGTGGCACGGTGCGCGGCAGCTCCCGCACGGTGGCCTCGGTGACAGCTGTCTGGTTCAGGCTCAACTGGACGAGCGACGGCGGCGCCTGCTCCAGGTACGCAAGCAAGCCTGCATCGGTCACTCGCGTCCTGTCCAACACCAGCTGCTTCAAGCTCCTCAGCTCTGGAGCATGATCAGTCAGGAAAGAAGTGTCAGAAGGTAGCATTCACTGTCTAATGTACACTTAAATCCACTGATGGAAGAATGCCTCTGCACACCATGTGGATTATTGGAATTATTTAACCATTCCACCACGATTATCTAAGTAGTTGGATGAAGGTGGGGAACATAAGTGCGGGAGCATAGATTTTGCTGTACTGCCCTCTGCTGTCCACCACTTTGACCCACAGCAGTCTGTAACACACCTGGTTTTGCATGCTGATTACCCATTCAAGCACTATCCAGGCTCAACTTTGCTTAGTTTCAGAGATCTGATGAAATCAGGTGCATTCCAGGTGATTTAGTGATCGGCTTACTTTACGATACATGATATTAATTACATAGCTGTTAGCACAGTCTAAATATGACTAATAGTATAACATTATACCTCCTTATATAAAAAATAAAAAAATCTCACGAGAAAAGAACACTCGTTAGATCAGTCTTCATTTTAAAATAAAGACTGATATCTAAAACTTCAGAGATGTCATTGCCAATGATCCATATTCATATGTAATAACTCGCTTTTATGGCAAAACAATGTGCCAGATGGCCTGCACGTGTACGTCAATGACGTTTTGAAACTTGCGGTTCAAGGTTGTTCTACATGATTATGAAAACGTCACTGTCGACTACAAGATTTGGTTTACAGTTCATCACATCAAAGAAACTATGAATGAAAAATTATGTACATCGTAAATCTGCATTACCTTTAATGTAAACGAGACACTTGTCGGACAGCATAACGCAGGACGCCAGGTTGAGGTGGTGCAACCGCGACAATGATGTAAGGCACTCGAGACTCCGGTCTGACAGAATGACAATGATACGTTTCAACTATCAACACATGCAAACTGATCTCACGTAGTGTGTCGTTGCAAGGAAGGTGGTGGATGTGCACAGACCAGTGATGAGTGAGGAGGAAAGAAGGCTTAGGCTCTTGAGGGATGGAAATAGCCGCAGCTGATGAAGCAGTTCATTAGTGGTGAGCGAGTAGCAGTCCAAGCGCAGGCACTGCAATGGACAGCCTCGGAACAAATCAAGGGTCCTCGGACGTAGCCTCTCATCCTTAACCAGATGAGCAATGATCTTCTCGGCTACAGATGGGTTCAGCCCGGCCAGGCTGCTGGTAAACTGCATGCTGGGGTCTACATTTAGAGGAGGAAGTGGGGAAGAACACATGTATAGCAATTGTTACAAAAATTGTGAAATAGTTCAGGTCACTGCATTCTATGTCTACACGTTTTATATATCACCAGATTTAGTTTCCAAATCAGAAAATATATATTGTTGTCAGTCAGAGATGAAGCTGAGCTTTTGTTTTCAGAGTAAAGTCACATAAAAATTCTATGTGACGCAAGTTGAATTTACACCAACACAATCACATATTCAGAAAATGTTGGTCTAAAAACAGAAATTCTTACATTTACATATGCACGTGCAGCTGTGCTAACAATGCACACAACATGTGGTATTCTGAGCTCACCGGTAATCAGCACACACACCGTGCTCAATGCCAACTCGCCAAGCGGTGAAATAACCCTGCCACGTGTTGGCCTCAGTCCAGGATCAAAGTTCACACTGGGAAAGGGGGGCAGCGCCATCTCAAAGTGCGGCGGCTGACGGTCAGGCCCATCACCATCTGCACCCTCATCCCTGCCAAAAGGGCCCAGGACATAAACAATTTAACATTGTGCCGCAGACGTCTGTGAAAAAAACTCACCATCTATCACTCCTATTCACATCCCAAACGCCTGTGCTGAATGAGTGCTGGTACTCACTGTAGCCGGTGTCCTTGCCCTGGGAAAAGATCGTGGTGCTGCCTGGCTCTTGGAGGAAAGCCCAGTCCTGTAACACCAGGTAGGGGTGACATCAAACACGAATGCATTAAGTGGTATTGTGTAAAGCACTTAGGTCATTTGCTGCGATTCTCTTTAATCTGTTTTCGTAGACGTAGCTAACCTTGTAGCAGTCCAAATCTCTCATGAGGATCAAAACGGTGGTCATCATGCTCCTCCATTGCATCAAAGTTGAGTCCTCTCGCTAAAAAACAGAACCAAGCCAGAAGTGTTGCCACCATTTATGCATATTGAACTTCTTTCGCACCGTAAGTAGCCAACAATGCTCAAGCAATACATATCTCTATATTACATCTAACTGTATATTTATGTAATCGATTCCTCATAGCTATTTGTAAAGAATCACTCATGCCTCCCAGTGATCAACTATAAATCACGATCTTGACTTTGATTTTTTCATCTTACGCTTGCTTTTTATTTTGCTTAAATGTAATTACAATGGAACCCGACAATACATTCTAAACATTGGTTCTCTATAATGGCTAAAGGATGGTGCACATAGCAAGCCCAAAGTGAACAGCCGTGTCAAGTTGCGTGAAGTTATGCTTACCCCAATTGTGATGGAAGCCAAACCTCTGTGGTAGCTGTCCATCCTCGTCCAAGTCTGGGTGGGGTTGCTCCTCCAGCTCCATCTGCCCAACGGAGCCGCGTGCTGCCTCCTGTGCTGCCTCCTCAGCCGCGTCCCCACTGTCGATCTCGATGTCCATGGCTTGATCCCTGCCCGATTCGTGGCTCCTTGGCTCAGTACTTCTCTCTGTATGTGCCCCGCGTCCCTGCTCTTGCTGTGTTCAGAAAATAATTAGCCGACAAGTTCTGCGTTAATATTCTAGTTCAAACAAGGATGCTTTATTCACGAAATTGCTTCCAAATTATTTTCCAGTTGACTTTAAATTACATTTTGCATAATGCTGCCCACACACAACTAATCACATTGGAAATATGGCTGTCCAGTGACGGGACAATTCCAAAAAGCTTCACACAATGATGACATACTCCAAGTCTGTCATTAATTACTTAAGAACTAGCCTATAGCCCGTCCAATGACGGGCGTATTGCAGTAAATGTGAAACATTCAAGTGAAAAGCAGACCGCGACGCCATATTAATTGAATCCATTCGTGTGCAATTTGTAAGGCCGCGGTGACAGACTTATTTCATTTAAAGGTTATAATCCCTTGTTCATCAAGATGTCCTTTTTACTTTGATGTCTCAACAGCGTTATGGAGATCGCGTGACGTGAGGGTTCTGCCTTTGTAGTGAGGGTTGTAAGTTGACGCCGAGGAGGAAGGAGGAGGCGCCTCGGCCCCCCATGTGGAGTGACGTCACCCGCTAATTATTATTAATGGAGGGGGGGGGTGTCCATTTGGAGGACGTCACCTTATAATGATTATTAATGAGGGGGGCTGTTCGATGTGGAGTGACGTCACCCGCTCATGATTATTAATGAGGGGTGGGTCCATCTGGAGGACATAACCTGTTCATGATTATTAATGAGGGGGGCTGGTTGACGTAGAATGACGTCACACGCATTACACACTGACATTCTTGAGCATAGTAGTAAATACACGTTCATTACTGTGTGCTGTATTACAAATGAGCTTAGTCACCTCTGCAGAGGAACATCCCTCACCCTCTCTGGCACCCGCGCTGCAGTCCACAGTTGTATTAACCGTCACGTCTGTCACAACAGGAGTGTCGACTCCAACAGCGTTGCCGCCCTGTGTTGTGATAGCTTCATTATTAACAGCCTCTTCATCTTGTGACACACATAAGTGGCCCTGTGTTGACTGAGTGACACCACCCTCTTCAGGCATGGGGCAGGCACAGCTTGGAGATGCATCTGCTCGGGGACTCTCCTCAGGCCGACGCACGCACAGTGTGCCATTGGGCACAAGCCCCAACTCTGCGAGCGTCAGCTCTAGTTCAGCGGTGCCAAAGTCCTGCCGTGGGTATGGCTGGAAGAGCTGCACGGGCAATGGGAGCCCAGGACGGTGTTCGCTGAGGTACGCTTGCACATTGCGCAGAGTGGACGCGCACGGGAAGCGGTCGCGCAATAACTCTCCAGATGGAAGGCGAATCTGCGTTGAACATCAAAAAAGCAGTGAGAAACATTTCAACAATAGCACAGGATTCTGTAAATGAAGCTTGTTGAACAGTGTGCTCAACACGTCTGTATGTTGTCAGTGGCGTAGGGAAAGGAATGACCTGTAGGAGGCACTGTCCAGACACACTGGTCTGGCGGCGGCCTCCAAGCACGCCGCCCCCCTCTGTGCTTGGTCCAGACCCAAGCGACGATGGCTTTTCTTGCTGCTGCTTTCTGTCCTCCTCAATCCTCTTCAAAACCATTTCACGCTCCTAAAAAAATCCCAGTTGTGAAAAACAGTTTGTCAATAGAACATAGTCCATATTAAAAAATATTCATGACATTTACAAAATGTTCCTTCCAATTTCGACTTTCCTGGTCCTTGAGTTCTCTCCTGGTTAAACAAAATAAACTTCAACTTTGTCAATACACAGGATGGCTCAAAAGTTTTTCAACCGAGGTAAAGTGAAACATTATTTTAGTTATCATCTCAGTAAAATAACTTTTGGGTTAACTTGTATGGTAATTGATATAGATGTTGACTAAGAGGGAATGTGAAATATGGATACTTGTTCTTTAGACGTGTCCTGCAGCTAGGATACCTTGATCTTGCGCTGTTTCTCTGCCTTGGCATCAATGGCTTCTTGCTCTCTCTGCTTGTCTCCAAAATTTTCTTTTTCGGGGTTCCGTTTTCTGGAAACCACCTTGAATTCTTGGCTTCCTGCGAACAAAATAAATATATATGCAGAATTTTTGTAATAGATAGTAAAAATGCTTTGTATTTAATAGTTCCCTTTATACAGGAAACTTAAATTTGGATGTTTTGCCAATTGCATTAATGCTACGCATCTGAGAAGAAACTGGATTACCCAGACAACCCAAACATATGCCGGAATAAGACTTAAAAGCTTCAGACAGATGGAATCAATTCATTCATGTACTACCATCTCCTGGCCACCTTTCAGCTTCAGCTTACAACACCTGGTATTCCTGAGTTATCTCATGCAAGTATTAACTAGCTTTAACTCTGCTTAGCTTCTGAGATTTGATGAGATCAGGTGCGACAAGGGTTATATGGCGATGGTTCTGACACTATGTTGGTCATCGTCGGTGATAAACCTTTTACACTTGTACGAGACAACTTTATGAATTTGCATACTAATATATAAAAACACAAAACCATGGCTGCACTCAAGCGTCTTGGATTTGTATTCAGTTGTTGCATCTGATTACAGTGGGGTAAATAAAGTTATAATGGATTGAATACACAATACTTACGAATATAATTGATAATCATGTACAAATGACAAACTGACAATTTTTAAAAGCTTTTGGGAATATGTACGATGGTGAGATAGCCAAGATAATGCATCATAAAGATGAAATGTCTTTTAACCGTCAACCACGACCGCAGATTACAAAACGTCACACATGCATAGTGGCCAGTGGTTCGCACGCTGCACTATGAACCCGGTCATCCGAGTTCTCAGCCATGGGTAAAATTAGTGGTGCACGATATCTGAATCAGTCACGGGACCATCATTAACGAACCCGCACACAGCACCATGATTACTGTAAATATGGCCAAACAACACACATGACTGACAGAGCTCGGGGAGGCCTTGATTCAGCAGTGGCTTGACAAGCGGCTACAATATTTATTCATACAGCAACGGTTAATCAGTAATGGGGAAAACCGCACCAGCTCCCAGCTGTGCAGAATCCATGCTCTGGGAAGTTCCAGGTAGCTCGGTTGGATGGTTGAAGGCTGCCATGGCGCCCTGGCTCACTGACGTAGCGGGCCACTTGAGGGAGAGTTGAGCGCTGCTGTCCGGCTGCCGCCTCACGCTGTCGCCAGGCTGCCGCCTCACGCTGTCGCCCTGAATTAGCCTGCAACAACAGCCACCGATCAACTTGCACGTACTCCCTATTGTTGTGGTATACGAGTTATGAAGTTAAAATGCATTCAAATTTAGCAATAAAATATGTGTTATATGGAACCAGTTGCTGGCTTTCACAGAAATAAAACTTAAACACTACTGGGTTTTGTAATATCATAATCATGTCATTTATGTATCTAGAAATACCTTTTTAAGGAAGGTACTGCATTGTGATATTTGGCCAAATTAATTAATGTCCGCAAAGATGTGCTCACAACGTACTTGCTGTACAAACACTAAATGTCAATTTTGCATCTCAGCAGGTTTTAGAGTCAGAAATCTGCCTTTGCCTCCCAAATGCTGGCTTAGTGGAATATGCCCCCCTTAGCCAGCCAATACACTAACACAAGGAAGTAATTCGCGATGTGCCAATGTAAAACATGCTGCACTGACCAGTCCACTGCATCTTGCAGTGACACGAAGCCCGCGCTCAAAGCCTCCCGCACACGGGACTCCTCAAAGCCCATGGCCGTCAGGGCCTGCATCACCTCCCCCAGTGTCTGCTGCTCAGTGAGGAGGTATAGGGGAGATACAGACACAGCAGAAGTGAGGTAGCGAAGTGATTTGTGAATTTATTATGGAGTGGAAATTTGACTGTGCCTGCCTTAGTGCCCAGACGTTAGTGTGCTTCATGCATACGGGCAATTCTAAAGTTGTGTAGATTTTAGCCACTCTATAAAGATGCGGGTATTCATTGGTATAATTAAGTGACTCTTTACTTGGGCATGGTATGCGAATTATGGTGGCGAGTAAGATCGAAACAAGGTTAGGCTAAAGTGGCACAGTATAAAAAGACTCATGGTTTACAAGGGCTCGCCGCCATCAGAGTATACATGGAGACATTTTTACTATCCACGGCTGGATGATGGTCTCCCCACGCTGTGTGGGTCCCAAAAGTTATTTTACCATACTTCACACCGCTCTGGTCAATGTGGGTTGGTGCGGGCGGGAACATAGACTCAAGATCATAGAAGTACAGTACAACTATGTATTTTTATCAATTGCCTGATGTTGGGCGCCACTGCTGAAAAGTATATATTAACAAAATAAGCGAGTGACAGTGTCGCGTGAAATGTCAGTTCTGATTGATCATATTCACGATAAACTTGCACCACATTACTTCTTCCCTCACTGGGTGGCCGAACGACGAGTGGGCTCGCTCAGGCGTGCACACCTCCCGGCCTTTCGTACCAGCAATCCTAAACTAAACTTACTCAGCTAAACAATATATTTGTTATTTTACCAAGCAAGGCCTATTGAGCTATATAGCTATATTGTGAAGCGATCTGGCCACAAATGACAGCTCAACAAAATGGATTATCATGTGGAAATGCACGCGAACACGGAGAGAAGAACATGCAAACTCCACATATACAGGCATCGTCAGGATTGGGGTCGAACCCACGATTTCCTGTATACCAGGCGAGGCGATTAACATGATTCATATAAACACCAGCTGTTATTTCTAGATTTGAAGCTTTCGTGACTGCAAGGATTCATAACTCCTAGGTTTTTTCGGTAAAGTCACGTAGGTAAAAATAAAAATAATAAAAATAAAAAAAATTATATAATTTTTACGATATAATTTTTGTTATTTATTTTTATTTTGATATCATTTGAATGATACAATTTTTATTTTTTAATTTTATTTTTACCTACGTGACATTACCGAAAAAACCTAAGAGTACCAGCTGTTATCTCAGCGCTACACAGCTCGGCTGCGTGTCCCGGACACTACTTGCCACCTGTTGAGTTTCAATATCCGCTCAACAGCGAGAAAGACAATCATTTTGTTCAAAGTTGTTACGGTGAAGGGCATCTGTGGTCGACTTTGGAATCTCTTCGCATCGTCTTTTCTCGAGTTCTCAAAACTTTGCTCAAATCAAGAGCTGCCATCTCGTGTATAACAATCTCAATGGTACCGTTTGTTGCTGGTCGCTTGCACATTTCTCAGCATTTCCTATTCTTAGCATGCGTGACATTTAAAGCAATCCCGTGGCACCCGCCAGCTCAGCAATGCGTTGTTATCACCAACTGCGGAAAGAGCTTCATAGCTCATCGGATTCACCCGAAAATAAAGAAGATTCAGCCGCAGCAAGGGGGCCCGTGATAAGTCACTTTAAAGAGTCTTGTTTTGAATAATTGACGAAGCCACGAACTCGCGCGAGGCGCACAGCGATCGTTGGTGAGAGGCCGCCAGATAAAACAAAACATACACACTTGACACGCTCCAGTCAACATCGTCTAATTTAAAAGTAATAAATTGTTTAACTTCATTTAAATTAAATCAAAGCCGTCCCCCCCCGCCTCACCTGCCCCGCTGTTGCGTCCATCGCCTTCCTCTCGCTCGGCGCACAGCACTCTGGGGCATAACTCCAGGGGGGGGGGGGGGGGTGGTAAACATTGCAAAGCGCGACGCGATTGGTCGAGAGCTCGACCAATGTAGCATACGTCACGAGGGGGGGGGGCGATCGGGCAGCAACAGCATCGCCGCACGCGATTGGCTGACGGGCCACCCCAACCAATGGGAGACTTAGTGGCGTAATCAGAAATGAGAATATTTATTCAAAAATAAGTAATATTTAAAAATACTTTTTAAAACACGCTTTAATTAAATGTACCTTCTTAATAAAACAATAGAAATAAAGTAATCAAAAAAGATTTTTTTTATTTTATTATTTCCCTTCTACGTGACTTTACCGAAAGAACCAAGAAGATGAATCCCTGCAGTCACGAAAGCTTTAAATCGAAAATAAAAAATAAGTAATATTTAAAAATACTTTTAAAACACGCTTTAATTAAGTGTACCTTCTTAATAAAAAAATTAAAATAAAGCAATAAAAAAATATTAATATTTTATTATTATTTTATTATTTCCCTTCTACGTGACTTTACCGAAAGAACCATGAAGATGAATCCCTGCAGTCACGAAAGCTTTAAATCGAAATTTAAATGTACCTTACTCGTAATGGCAAAACTCCACAACTCCAGGAAGTGGCCGCAAAGCTTGCCATAACGTAAGGGACCGTGGTGATTTACAGGCAACGTCAGTTGAGAGTGGACAATTAGACCCAAGCCGAAACATAAAAAATGCTTTTAAATATATACTTTTGATTTTTAATGATAGCATATAGTATTGTCATCAGTATGACGTAAGTATACCAAGTTTGCAGTCGATACCACATTGGGAAGTGGCTTAAAATTGAGTTACAAGAGTTTAAGATACGACAACAACAGACAGCGTGAGTTAGATAAAAGCGTGTAAGTAACACATTCCTGCGGAGGGAGCTGGTAGGAACGTTGGGTTGCTCGGTCAATGGCCAGGGTCAACGGCGGCGTGGTGTATCTCCGCAAATATGCCCGACTGTGAGGGCGGGCACAAGCCGGCGTGAGTAGGTTAAACGTTGAGTTTTATAAGGGCACCACGGGGTGACCAGCCCCTCCCCACCAAGCTCCACCCCTCCCACCCCCCACCCAGCCCCACCCTCCCCACCCAGCCCCACCCTTCCCACCCCCCACCCTGCCCCACCCCTCCCCACCCTCCCTACCCAGTCCCTCCCCACCCCCACCCTCCCCACCCAGCCCCACCCCTCCCTCCCCACCCAGCCCCTCCCCACCCTCCCTACCCAGCCCCTCCCCACCCACCCAGCCCCACCGTACCCACCCAGCCCCTCCCTCCCCACCCAGCCCCTCCCTGCACGACGGACGGACGGACACAATAATCCCCTGTGGGCTGGTGTAACCAGGAGGTTCCTACCAGTATAATAAGAATATGCGTTTACCCTTTCTGACAATAAACAGCGTTAAGATGTTCAAGCAGAAAATGGAGACCCTTTGCAAGGAATCGAGTACTGTGTTAAGCACACGTACTTGTCGTGAACATGCAATCAGAAATCGTTGTTTACGTGTTACAGTGCTGGAGGAATCCGATGAGCTATGAAGCACTTTTTTCACAGGCGTTCCAGTAGGGGCGGGTAAGAACGTTAGAACAACACATTTAAAAGAAGTAATAAGGGGTGCAAAGTTTATGAAAAGTACAAAAATCACTTTAAAATATGCAAACAAAACTAAATTACATATATATATTTTAATTTGACCAGGTAAAGTCCACTAAAAAATTAACAATTTTTTTTAAAAGCTACCTGGCCACAAGCTCTATAAACGGGACAGAATGCCCGGTCTTGCAGATGTTAGCCAATCAGAAACAGGGGGGCGTGTCACAGCACGCTATACCAACCAATGGGATTACTCGATCCATGGATCTGTTGGCAATGAATCGACGCAGCGATTAACCCGTAAATATAAATTAAACCGGTATTTTGGATGTGTTTATTATATTGTTGCGGCAATTTCTACATTAAATTGAAGATGATTGTATTTTGATATCCGTTTTTATGTTAAGCTTGATACTGAGTGTCCGATTGTATGTTCAACTTTATTCAATGAGTGCATACAAAGCAGTGGTATTTTTACGTCCCATTGTATATTGATTCTGCTCGTGTGCACAATAAAATTGCGGTGTAAGAAGTTTACTCCCTCGCTTTGCAGAACTTATAAGTATAGTTGTTTATATGCATTTTTTTTAAACACAGGCCTTTTGTCAATCTACTGCTGGATGAATGCTTCATCGAGCTTCCCCCCGACCCACCACCTCTCTAATTCAACATCAACATCATCGGCCAGGGTCTCTCCACTGCTGGATGAATACCTCCCTCCCCTAGCCCCCCCCCCCTCTAATTCCCAATCAACATCATCAGCCAGGGTCTCTCCACCGCTGGATGAATACCTCACTCCCCTTGCCCCCCCCCCCCCCCTCTAATACACCATCAACATCATCAGCCAGGGTCTCTCCACTGCTGGATGAATATCTGCACCCCCCACGCCCCCCCCCCTCTAATTCACCATCAACATCATCAGCCAGGGTCTCTCCACCGCTGGATGAATACCTCACTCCCCTAGCCCCCCCCCCTCTAATACACCATCAACATCATCAGCCAGGGTCTCTCCACTGCTGGATGAATATCTGCACCCCCCACGCCCCCCCCCCCTCTAATTCACCATCAACATCATCAGCCAGGGTCTCTCCACTGCTGTATGAATATCTGCACCCCTCCGCCCCCCCCCCCTCTAATACACCATCATCAGCCAGGGTCTATCCACCGCTGGATGAATACCTCCCTCCCCTAGCCCCCCTCCCCTCTAATTCACCATCAACACCATCAGCCAGGGTCTCTCCACCGCTGGCTGAATACTTCACACCCCTAGCCCCCCCCCCTCTCTCCACCATCAGCCAGGGTCTCTCCACTGCTGTATGAATATCTGCACCCCTCCGCCCCCCCCTCTAATACACCATCATCAGCCAGGGTCTATCCACCGCTGGATGAATACCTCCCTGCCCTAGCCCCCCTCTAATTCACCATCAACATCATCAGCCAGGGTCTCTCCACTGCTGGATGAATATCTGCACCCCCACCCCCCCCCTCTAATTCACCATCAACATCATCAGCCAGGGTCTCTCCACTGCTGGCTGAATACTTCACACCCCTAGCCCCCCCCCCCCCTCTAATACACCATCATCAGCCAGGGTCTCTCCACTGCTGGCTGAATACCTGACTCCCCTAGCCCCTCCCCTCTAATTCACCATCAACACCATCCGCCATGGTCTCTCCACTGCTGGGTGAATGTCTGCACCCCCCACCCCCCCTCTCTAATTCACCATCATCAGCCAGGGTCTCTCCACTGCTGGATGAATGTCTGCACCCCCTACCCACCCCGTTGTTAAAATCTGGGGGGGGGTTTGTTTCCGTTTGGTGACGTCACGACGAGCCCACGTTTGCCGCGCGCTGCCATTGGTCGAAGGCGCGCGGGTTTTGAATTGTTGAGGGCGGGGGGGGGCGGGCTGTGGTTGGTGGCCGTGTGGGGGGGGGCCGCTTCACATTCACGCCAATGCCACTAATATCAGTGGCCCGGGTAATCGAACGAGATGATTGGCTGAGCGAACCAAGTTGCAGTGGGCTAACCACTGAGTCACCGCTCACGCGGTGAGAGCTTTTAATTCAAATCAAATTCGTCCGTAGCAAAGTTTTTTTTTTGGGTTGACGCGTTCTAAAGTTGGGCATGTTGTAAAGCAAGCAAGCCGTGTTCCCCGAGTATGTTGCATTTTCACAGGTTAGTGTGAAGTGCCCATTAAATATGCAACGCGTTTCCATGCCGTCTGTTGAAGGCGCTCGGGTTTGAATTATATCGAGGGCGGACGAGGAGGGAGCCCCACGTGGAGCGGCGAGTGAGAAGCCGGGGTGAGTGCACAGCTACCACCACCACCCCAACGCCTTTGCTCAATCCACCACTGGATACAAGACGTTTTCCCGAAGAACAACATCGTTCACCTCTGCTGCGATGTGATTAAAACAACTCGACACGCGGGATGATGACACGTTGTTTTAGTTTCTCGTCGCTACGTCTAAACGCGCACGGCCGGCGTTTATTTTCGTTGTTCCGTCTGCCGGCATTGTTTAATGTGTCGTGCTAGTGCTGTTATTACGTGTTGATTTTTTAATACTTCGTAATAAGCGTGGTGTTTAAGTGCAAGCGTGTGCTTGCATTTATATTTCAGCTATAATATCACGTTCTGCAACGTGTGCATTGAGGCATACAGTCGGCGCTTTGAGCCTATATAACGCACAGCTTAATCGTGAGTGTAAAGGCATCGCTTATTCACTCTTTGTGGAAACAGTACTCTATACACGTTCAAGTAAGCAATGTGTTGATGGCAGTGGTACGGACGAAGCGACATACAACACACGAGCACAATTATCGATACAGTACCCTATTTGATTCGAATCGTGGAAGGGAAAATCTGGGTATTTTCTAATAGGATTGAGACAAATTGTGTAACTTCCAGGCTTCTGTTATTCCGCGGCCGAATTAAATGATCCCCCGTGCCGTGCTTTTAATAGGGGTATACTCTTAGGTTTTTTCGGTAAAGTCACGTAGGTAAAAATAATAATATAATAAAATAATGATAAATGAAAATAATTACATTTTACTGGAGCAGTTACACACCTGATGACTGAGGCTTGTGTTGCTTCCAAAACGTCGTGATTTAATTTGGTTATTTTCATTGATCATTTTATTGTATTGTTATTTTTACCTACGTGACTTTACCGAAAGCTTCAAATCTAGAATATAATATGGGTACTTTGAGCATCCTCCCCGCTGGTCACTTTGAGTTGTTGTAGTAGGTTGTCGGTGGGGGGCACCGGTTCAGATATCACGTAAATGCCACTGATATCCGTGGCCAGGTATCGAACTCGGGTGGCTGGAGCTACCAAGTTGCAGTGCGCTCACCACTGAGCCACCGCTCCACGAGGAGAGAGGTTTTACTTGAAACCAAAATCGTCGTTGATGCCTTCTAAAGTTGGGCATTTGTTAAGCGCTGTCTTCCCGAGTGTGTTGCGTTTTCAAAAGTAGTGTAAATATCCATAAAGTAAATGTGAAAAGCGTTTTTAAACGCAGCACTTTGGTACATAAAAAAAACATTTAATGACTTGCCGAGTTGCTTGTAAATAAGTGGGAGGTTGCGAAACCGGTTAACCACCCCCTGTCTGCGTGGTGGCCAGGAGATTCTAGTACGGGACAGGTTTTACTGGTAGGAACATCCTGGTTACACCAGCCCACAGGGGATTATTGTGTCCGTCGTGCAGGGAGGGGCTGGGTGGGGAGGGTGGGGCTGGGTGAGGGTGGGGCTGGGTGGGGAGGGGCTGGTCACCCCGTGGTGCCCTTATAAAACTCAACGTTTAACCTACTCACGCCGGCTTGTGCCCGCCCTCACAGTCGGGCATATTTGCGGAATACACCACGCCGCCGTTGACCCTGGCCATTGACCGAGCAACCCAACGTTCCTACCAGCTCCCTCCGCAGGAATGTGTTATTTGATCAATCGCTGCAGAGCTTTGTTAATCCCGGTACTGTACGTAATGAAATTGGGCAACGTCTGCAGACTCGAGGTTTCATAGCTGGTCAAATAAATAGTATTATTGCTTATGACCAATTCAACCGAAATGCGTCCAGCCTCGACATTTCCGAAGTTAGCCAGTGGGGTTGTCCCGCATTTATGTTGAACTTCTCTTGTACCGTACGTTTGAGCAATGATGATGCTCAGACGGGTGATCACGCCATGCACGAAATTGCTGCTGCTATATTCGGCGGGGGGATGCGTTGTGGGCAACGGGACAAGGCAGCAGCAGCAACATCTGCAGTTGCTCTGCTCCCCCCACCACTTAGGCTCCCAGACTGCATTTAGCAGTGTGGAGTGTCCGTATCTGTCAACCCACACGGTTTACCTCGTATTTTTGTACAGGGAACTGAGTGTTCAGCTCCATACGGCGTACAAACTTTTCAATACTAGGGGAAAACACATCTATTTGGGTTTCTCCCTTGCGACGGGACTTTGTAGGATGAACGTTGACATTTTAAGGGCACGGGGTGACCAGTAAGGTCTGAATTGGTCTGTGAAAGGGGAGACGCTGATAATGGGTTGACAGGTATGAGTGTCTAATAACCCCCATCGTGTGGGGAGCCCCCCCCCCCTCCATCCAACAAGTGCATTGCAATACAGTTTGTATCAAATAACCATATACACGCTCACCTGGTTAGAGTGATAAAAGGTCATCGAAGGTTCAACGTCATTTGTGTTTGCTTGCAGCTGCTGCTGCAACCCTGCGGAGATGGCGAATAGGATGACGGTGTCGTCTCTGCTCAGCCTCTTCGACCAGATCGTCAGTCAAATGGAGCTGCTCAGCTGCGGCATGGAGCCCGGTTCGTCGTTTCCCCTAAAGCTCTTGAGACCAAGCAAAATCTGTTGCAGCATGCACAAGTGTCGGCATATGTGATGGTTCGGCCGTGGTGGCTTGAGCAGCGGTTTCAGCCTAATTCCTGGTGTCCCGAAGCATTTGTGAAAATCTGGATTGGGTACGGATGGAGGACGGACTTACTGCCAGCTCTCGGCCGTGTGTCCAGGCTGAACCTCTGGGAAATGTTGGTAGCTTTAAGCATGGAACATGCAGCACCTGGCTGATGTGGATGTATGTGTTTTGAACTTCTTTCACACCGTACGTAGCCAACCGTACTAATCGGAGGTGTGGGAATGGAAAAAAATACGTAGTGAAGTCTGATATTAGCTGAACTTACGTGTCATCTTTAGAACGCAATGTACGAAATGTGTATTCGTGCTCTTGCAACGCACCATCACCTAATTGTACGAACTTATATTGGCCACCAGGTGTCATGTATGACCCAGAGGAGGTGGCACTGTGATGAAGCCGAGTAGGAACTAATGTTGTTCATCCTGTCCCAATGCAGGAATTAGAAAGGAACTTTCTCCCCAGAAATTGCAAATTCCTGGAGTTAGCTTGCATGTTTATTTTCTTGAGAATATAGTTGGTTGCCTCTACCCACATGCACCTCAAGGCTTGACTGGAACCTGTTATACATGCTATCTGCCTCTGGCTTGTACAGTGTATTGTTCAACAAGCTATGCCAAACAGCAGTAGCATGTCCGCAGTGTTTTAGTCCGGCCCAACTTGTTGAGTGAATGTGTGTGATTATGACTTGGCTGGTTATTTGACACATCCAGAGTTTAATGTATGGCTCTATTGCACTCTCACGCACATGACAGAGTGAGGAGGCCCTCATCCAGCAGTGGATTTACAAAGGGCTGTATATATACATGCCTTTGTTGTTCGTAAAAGAAATGTATGCGGTGTATTTGGGGGCTGTGATTTGGCCTATTGGTAGCGTGCTCGCCGTTTGTTGCAGGGGTTCGCTGTGCAATCTTAGCAGCTGCCCTGGTTAATTCTATGGGTGTATTCAGCAAAGATATTCGCTGTCTGCTTCACAGTCGACGTTAAATATCCTGTAATGTATATATATAAAGGAGTATGCCTTTCCTGCCATTGTCAGTCCACATTTGATAAGTTACTCATAAATTACTTGGCAAAGGTCGCATATCAACATCGTACTGACAAACTAATGTCCGCTTGCAGCCCAGTGCTGCATTCACCTTGGGACAGCCTCCACCAGGGGTCTCCTCAGCTAGACTGTACCAGCGGCATCGACATGGTTGAGATGAGATGTGAAACGAAGCGCTCGGGACTTGCCGAGCCATTTTACCGCTTTTGTAAATGAAAATCCTCATCCTCTCCACACCTTTGCTTACGACTGTGACGCTCGTGCAGAGTTCATAAAGCTTGCGCGCAGCTTCCAGGAGTTCCAGGTGCGCTCGCGAAACATGGGGCAGCTGCTCGCTGCCAGGGAGGAGCAGCTGGCCCAGGCTGAGGCGGAGCAGAAAGCGCTCGAAGTGAAGCTGAAGCACGCGCGCAACCAGGTGGACGTGGAGCTCAGGAGGAGGCACAAGGTGGAGGCCGAGTGCGAGAAGCTGGTGAGTGCGCTCCTTGTGGGGGAAGAAATCGGCTGCTGGACGCCACTGTGGCGAGATGTTAACTACCTCGTCTGGTATGCAGGAGGTCGTGGGTTCAACCCTAACACATTTATTTCTGGAGTTTGCATGTTCTCCCTGTGGTCGCGTGGATTTTCTCCGGGTTTTTTCCTCCACATTTAGAAACATGTTTTGAGCATTTGGTGGCTATACATTTTCACATGGTAAACCACTTTGTTGAGCTATCATTTGTGGCCAAGTCGCTTCTGAAAAAGAGCTATATAGCTCAGTAGGCCTTACCTGTTAAAATAAAAAATAGTTTAATTTACATAGTTTAGTTTGGGATTGGTGGTATGAGAGGCCAGGAGGTGTCGATTCCTGAGCAAGCTCACTCGTGGTTCAGCCACCCAGTGAGGGGAGAAGTCACGTGGTGCAAGTGGGTTTGGTTCGGTGTCCACACATCCCAACCTCGCGCTTCACCCATTATGACCCTCGTCATTTGCGCTCGACAAAGGATGCCGCTTAAGACCTAAAAATGGAACTTCTACGTGTACACGTTACATGCTTTGTCGATCCACGGCTGGATAAGTGCCTTCCCCGTGCATTGCAGGTTGTGGGGTTATTTGACCGTACTTTACGATGGTCCGTGTAGGTTGCTGAAGACAGGGAGCATAGATGGAGTAAAGTACAGTATAACAATTGTTTTTTATGCGCTGCCCTTGTCTGGGAATGTTGCTCCGGAGCAGCCTATAACACCAGCATCCAAGCACTATCCACGCTCAACACCTGCTTAGCTTCTGAGATCTGACGATTTCGAGTGCACTCTAGGTAATTTGCTTGCAGGCGTAAACAATAAAACAGCTTCCCAAACTCCAGTTGCGCCTATAATCAAATAAAGGTAACACGATTACACATTTCACTAATCTGATTACTAATGATTATAATACATGAAGACTTGGATTTTAGAGTTATTGAGGACTGGAGTATGGTTAACTTGATAGAAACGATGCTTTTCCTTGAGAGAGCTGGAAACCTACAGAATTAATACGTTTTTCTATGGCATAGTCTTAACACAAGTTTGCATGGTTGCCTGTCCGCAGGAGAGTCAAATGCAGCTGGTGAGGGAGGTGCTGATGCAGGACTTCAGCCAAAGCCGTCTGCTCTTGAACGAGGAGCAGAGAACCGCACTGGCCTTCCTTGGTGGATGCGGCCCGACTTCCACCACTCGCAAGTCGCATGGCAGGTCGGTCAATATGTCACGGCCGCAGTTATGCATCAGCCAAAGCACCTGGGTTTTAAATTTAATTTAATACTCAAATCGATACTCTTGTCGGTTAAGTTAATAGAGGAAAAAGTAAATGGATCTTGAAATTGAAGCTAAGACATTAAGGAAACCACTAATCTCATTCTTATTCTAATTAACCCCCCCCCCCCCCCCTTACCTGATTTTCCCACTGAACATCCTTGCAGCAGCATCTAGAAAGTCTGGATTTTGTGTAGGAAATCTGTTTTGTGTGGGGAAATTGTTTTGTGTAGACAGCACTGATGGCCATGCACTTTCTGATAATACATAACGTCGTTTGTGCTTGACATCCTGAGCTGGTATCTGTCATCATGGTAATGGCTTTCCTTTTTTGCAGGATGTCCGCAATCAGGGAGTCGGTGCTGTCTACATCCATGCTTTCCGAAATCAGTTATGATCACACAGACGATGACTGGGTACGTGCAATGCCTCGGTTAAAACATCGAGTGTCGGCAAAACAAAAGGACAGCCGTTATATTTGGTGGCAGAATGTTCACCAGAACAGGGAGCCAGGGAATTGGTGTCTGTTTCAGTGATGCGGTTAAGATGTGCATTGCACGGACAAGGCTGGTGCACAATACTCTGCAAGAGTAGATCAGTGAGAGGCCGGCAGTTCCCAGCACATCTGCTGGGGCATCCCAGGTCGTTCCTGCAAGTTCTATAGCAGGCGATTCTTGATTTGGTCTTTTCACAGATCTGTTTTACATGGTGCTTCGAGGTCAGGCTTCTATCCATGATAATACCTATATATAATGGAGTGGGGTCATAGTACTCTGGGCTATGACAGAAGGACTCGTCAAGGGTGGTGTCTGCTGCATGATCTGTTCAGGTGGAAAGCACTTGTGGTGGTTTTAGAAGTATTTGGTCAGTCTCCAGCTACGGAAATATGCCTCCAACATTGTTGTGCCAGTTTTCTTTTGACTCTGGAATCCAGATTCTATGAAGGTGGTGAAGGCAACAATCTGTTTTCTGGCTTGTTCAGGAGTAAGCTGGTGAAATATGGTTATGCAACTGCCACGACCCGCCCACCGTGGAAAAAGCCCTCATCCACCAGTGGATTAACAACAGGGCTGTACATGTACTCCCATCTTTCCGAGTGGATGTGGAACTTTTGTGAAACTCTCTGCAGCTAGGTGTGGTGTGTCTTGTGAGTGCTAATGATTCTTGTACATGCAGGATGCTGACACTACACAGAGGGTTGAGCAACGGGCAACGAGAAGAGAAAGGCGGGTAAGGAAAATGCAGGGGATGATCGTGTATATGCATATAGAGCTGGGACGATTCGTCGATTAAGTTTATTAATCAGCAAAAAATTGTAGTCAACTCCTTTTTTGTAGTTAAACATGCCCCTTTAAAAATGGCGACCGCCTCAATATCCTGCTTTCCAATGGTGGGAAACCCCCTACAAGCCATGCCCATCATGACGAGCCGATGATGTTACAAAATTCTAGATTTTAAGCTTTCGTGACTGCAAGGATTCATATTCTTAGATTTTTTCGGTAAAGTCACGTAGGTAAAAAATTAAAATTAATAAAAGCATTCGTGCTGTGACGGTTCCATCTGAAGACGGAAGCTTGTGTTGCCTCCGAAATGTCGTGATTTTTATTTTATTTTACTTTTATTAATTAAATTTTTTTACCTACGTGACTTTATCGATGTTACAAAGGCCTGTCCATCACCTAGCCAGCTGTACATGGGAGGAAAGAGGTGAGACTTTTTTTCCACAATTGTTTTTCATGTTATTTGATTAGTTGAGTAATCGAACCGAAAACCTGTAGAGTAACCCATTACTTATAAAATCAGATAGCCCATCTATATATGCACACACACACCTGTTGGGCCATGCTTATGTTCAATGCAGTCTGAATATATTTGATTGCCTTCTTAATTGAGTTATTACATTAATTATGTATGTATATATCATATAATATCCCCTCGTGCATTTTACAGCTGGCTGTGGGAAGGTAATGAATCATGATTCATGTCTGGAGAAAGCCATTTGTACATCCCTTGGTATTCGTTTGTATATCTGTCAAAAGTATGTGACTTGTTATCCTCTGACCCCAATAAAGCACTTGGTCCATGAAAGCACTTAACTGCCTCACTTGAGAAAATGCCATAAATTCCTCATGACCGCTGCTGTCAGTGCACGCGAGGTCTGAAACATGGCCTGGAATTCTTGCATCTTCCACCAGAGGTCTCTCGGGGTCGGGCATCCAGAAGTGTGGACCATGCAGCCCAAAAGGTCCTGCGTGCCTGGAGAGATGCCCACAGCAAAGGCATTCAGTGACAAGGTCTCTCACCACTTTACTTGTTTGGTTAAAAAATATGCCTACTGGAGCACACTTTTCAATGCTCATGGTCACATTTCAAGAATAATCGCAGGCCGAGTGACTCGGCAGTTTCGAGAGTACGGCTCGCATTGAGAAGGTTGAGAGTTAAAATCCTGGTCAGGGGGTTGATCAGCACATCATCCGTCCAGGATCTATTAAACGAGTCGGTGGGCTCATCAATTTCACAAGTACGCTCGCCATTCCACCACATTTAATGTATTAGAATTACATTCATGTTCAAATTCTCCTTCATTCCATTTGCCTAAATATTTTCCTTGTTTTGTTGTTTGCTGCTCCCTACTTGCATAGATAATTTACCAGGGTGAGGGTGAGGAGATGGATCTGAACCTGACGGGGCTCGTGCTGGACACTGACAGGATCCGAGCTGACCCCACGCAGCTCAACTTGAGCGTGGAGATGCTGTCCAGGCGCCGGACGAGCCGCGGCAGACGCCTCTCCGCTCTCATTGGTGCGGTGACATGGCCTAATGGGACACTTTTCAAATCCAGCAGCAGCTCCAATTAATCACTCACAATGAGGCCACTGTTCATGCAAATTATGCAATTGGGATTGTACAGAGCAATCATTTCCCTCTATTGCAAAAACAAATTTGGTAGGATCCTCCTGATATATGTATGTTAAACTTATTACGCATCTTGTGTAACCAACCGTGCTAATTGGAGGTGCGGTATGTATAACCGTGAGACTTTCCTGGGTAACGGCTATATCTTTATATCCAACTGTGAAGCTTGGTTAGAAATCTTCAAATATTAGATGAGATTCACAATGGGCTTCGTGCCCTTCTCCAAGCTCATTGCCATCCACTAGTTTTAACACTTTCCAACTACGATTGTTGAAGGTTTTCCATTAGCTCCCTCCGTCCATTCATAAATAACGAGGTGGGCCACTATAGATCTTTTAAAGATAATCCAATATGAACAAACCTGTATAATAAAGATGTTTTTGGGCATGTACCCTAAAGACAAATGGACACGTGAAATTTTTGTCCAAATTTGGAAATACAAGTCACCTATAAAGAAAAATTAAACTATTCAAATCCGTTTTGCCCTGACAACTAACTACCTGTTTATTGGTTTCCATACATATAATGAAACATTTCAGAAGGCAAATGCATATTGGAAAGTGTTACTCAATTATTCTATATGCATGAGTCATGAAAGAAATGTTTTTCCATTTGGAACTGTCGACCAAACTACGTCAGAAAGCCGCACCAACGAGGATCACACCATAGTGTATCCCTATGAACATTGTTTAACGCATAGCAATGGAATGGATTTCTGTTTATAATTCTCACAGCTGGAAAAAATAAATTTAAGTAAAATCCACATTTTATCCAATGGGATTTTTGTAATGCATTCATTGGTGACTGACAATTCGCTACACTAATCGTGGTTGGGGTGCCTGGATCCAAACACAGGGTGTTGGTGGGGCCGGCTCGGTGCTCGTGCGCACTATTAAACGCCGTGGCTACCTGACCACCTCATGCTCGTCTAGTTTCTAAAGCGGTCACAACTTCGTCGTTGTGGCAACAAAGATAGACCAATGCATGGGAAGCGCACTGTTACTACCATCCCAGTGGCTTCGTGCACACATTGGTCTGTGGTCAGTGTTATTTGTTCATAGTAGTCGAATCATTGATCCTCAACTAAAATGTTGTGAAAGGGTCATCTAGTACATTTATTGCTATTCTTATGGCAAGTTGTAAGCTTATGCAGCCCATTTTGTGGGTTTTGAGCAGATTATACGAAATGTATTTCAACTTATTGTACGTAATCTGCATGAAGATGTGGACATTAATTACGGTGTTTGAGGATTGCAAACACACATCTCTCCATGCCTCTTCGTTGCAAATGTTTATTTCTGATCCATATGTGTCAGCAGGTAGTATAGATTAATGAAAAACTTTGTTTTTCAGACATTGGTGTGTTGCTTACATCATTAAGTTAAGTTTTCCAACAACACTTTTCTTGTCAGGTTGCTGTATTTTTAATTGTATATACAAGTATTTCATCCATCAACATCTCGACGCAAACCTCATTGTGTGTGATAGAGCAATCCACCATGGAGAACTGTGGAGGGGAAACCTTGCAGGGTACTGTGTCCACGCTGTCCATGAAGAGCAGCCCCCCTTTTGGCACGGAGTTGGAACGACAGCACTCCTTTGTCCCCAAAACGGTACGCACTCGATGCAGCATTTGTTACAAAAGTGTATCCAGATCGGTCACGCAGCTTGTGGAGTTGCATACACGTTTTTGTGGCTTTTGTAAAATTTTGGAAGAAATGAAGACAGTGATATAGTCTGAGGCCAATGAACGATCCACTGTGGCTGTTGGGCATGCAGTGAATTACCCCATTCCCTCTCCTCCCAGTGATTCGGTGAACTATCACAATTTGGGGTTGCAATTCAAATTAGCCCAGCAGTGACAGAGTTTCACATTTTTAATCAAGCAGTCACCCTAGTTTTTACTGCGGGTGTATTAACCGTAAACGTACCTGCCATCTGCTTCACAGTTGAATATTCCTTGATGTCATTTGCAATAGTTGGCCAATGTGCGTAGGTGCTATGGATCAAATTTTAATCATCGCGACTTGAGTCATTAGATTCAGTGTAGCTTCAAGACTCCGTTTTTTTTTTACATTTTTACCGCTTGTATTTTTTCTCTTTATTTCTTCTAAAAGTCTATTGGCTCAGTCTAAATGTAACGGCGTATAATCGAGGTACCTTCGGCTTAAGAACCAAGTTAATTCATGAATTGATGCTTGGCTATGGGTCTGCCGGCCATGCACCATTTATGGGGGCATTTTTTTATTCTGTTTCTCTGTCGCCACTGCCGCTGCGGCCGCCGGGGTCACAGGTCATAAAGCCAGAGTCGTGTGTGCCGTGCGGGAAGAGGATCAAGTTCGGCAAGTTGGCACACAAGTGCCGCGACTGCCGCATGGTGGCGCATGTGGAGTGCAAGGAGCGCTGCCCACTCCCCTGCGTGTCACGCCCGCTGGCATCGGCATCCGCCCACCCCAGAGAGGTGCTTACCATTCCCCCTCCACCTCACAAAGAGTACCCGTCTCGTTAAAAAAAATAACTCTGACTCGCATTCATTCTCAACTGCTGAATGAAGGACTCCCTAACCTGTTGCCGTCTCTCAGAGTGTTGCGATGCAACAATCCATCGGGCTCTTGCACACGAGCTTATTTCATCGCTGCATATCTGTGCTTGACATTATCCGGATCGTATTTGATCCTTTATTCATCTTTTGCTCTAACAAAGCAGTGTTCTCATTTCCCCATTTACGAGATTCATTACTGTATGAGATATCAGTCAGTTGATAACTTTCATTGACAACCAAGTAAGATATTACTTAATTCATGAATAATAACGAGCAGCAGTTGTATTATTATTGTTGGAAGGGTTGTTTGTAGGCACATGTAAAACAGGTAAAGGTGCAGCCCTGCAATTACCTGCACATGCCACTGCTGGTGGAAAGGCTTCCACTAAAAGGAGCTCTGGAAAGTCCCTCTTAAGGATATTTGGCCTACTCTTCCACTCTGGCCAAACATCTTGTAATAAGTGGGAGTACTCACAATTTACCCCTCGCACGAGAGCTGCCGCTTGAAGAACTGCGGTGTGCCTACATCCATATACATACTGCTGGGTGGAGAGGTGGGGGGGGCATTTAAGAACATTTCCCATTGTGTCAACTACCACGCAGGAATATGAAATCGAACTCACGATCTCTTGATTGCAACTCAATTGTGCTAACCATTACACCGCGTCAGGATCCCAAGTGCACGTATTTCTTTACTTTAGGGGACCGTTGCAGACTTCTCGCCACCAACTGCGCCCATGATCCCATCCTTGGTGATACACTGCGTGGATGAGATTGAGAGGAGAGGGATGAAGGAGGTGAGATGCATGATGATCCTCGCGCTGTTCGCAGTCTATTGATCACAGAATTGACTTAACATTTGTAAGTAGATGCCATGGTTTTATAATTATGAAGGCAACTATATATTCTTGCAGGAAACATTGATTTCTTAGAAAATGGGGAATGGATCGTGAGTAAATGACAAACCAAATGTTTTTATGCATTATATTTTTATAACACGATTGCCCTTTATACCAGGGTAATTTAGCTCTGCATCACTCTCCAGAACCATACAAATAGAACACTCCATGGTCCCTACCCATTGCTATGATACTTAAGACAACCAATATGAAAAACATAATACAGCATATACAACATATATAACAAGTATTGAACAGTCGGGTAATTATAGCATCTTTGTAATAAATCTTGGCACCGTGGAGCAGATGTTAACATTCACCAATCATAAGGAATTCGCAGTGATTAACACCTTAATTTCAATGGAACATTTAATAAAGCATATTATGATACATCTCAGTGGGATAGCATCGTTAGCATGAGCCCTGGTGCAAGAGATGAAATGGGGCCCCTTGACCAGTTTTCCCCCTCCTCACAGCCTGGCACCTGGTCACCCTCCAGCCAGTGGGCTGAGGTTTCAGTTGCATTGCCTGCACACTCGATAGCTAGACCACTAGTGTGGTGTGCAAAATTGAGTTTGGAAACCCAGGCTCAGTGATGTGCAAGGACAAATATCCCTCTTATAGCCTTAACAGACTTGGGGCAAGTGGTGTTAGCGAGCACCTATGAAAGGCTGGGTGGCCAGCACCACGCCCAGCCTTTGTCTCCCTAGTGGGAATGTTTACACATTGCATCAGGTACTCATTTGAGGCTGAGTCGACCTCGGGGATGCTCAGGATCGCTTCAGATATTATCGTCACTGGTGTTGAACTTGAGTTGTAATCAAACCCAGGTCGCTGGGATCATAGCGCGGCCCGCTAACCGCGACGCGACCGCTCCCCTACGGAATGCATTGCTCTCATACACACACACACATCCTTACCCTTAACTCTGCAAGCAAATCCGGCGGTTGACACTCGTGTCCACTTGCAGGTGGGCCTGTACCGCGTACCGGGTAGCGACCGTGATGTGAAGGAGCTGAAGGAGCGCTGGCTGCGAGGGAAGGGCCTCCCCGCGCTGGCGCGTGTGGATGACGTGCATGTGGTGTGCGGCCTCCTCAAGGACTTCCTCCGCAGCCTCAAGGAGCCGCTGCTCACGCACCGTCTGCACCACACCTTCCTCGAGGCCATTGGTCAGTGGTTATCGTGCTACGCTGTGAACCTGGCGACCGATCAATATATATATTTTTTCTCCCAGGTCAAGCCCGCTGAGCTATGCAGCTCTTTTCAGAAGTGACTTGGCCACAAGTGATAGCTCAACGAAGTGGCTTGTGGAAATTATAGCAGTCAAATACTTTAAATGCATGTTCCAAAATGTGGAGGGGAAAGACTGGAGACCCAGAGAAAAATCTATGCGACTAAGGGGAGAACATGTAAATTCCAAATATACAGGCATCAGGGTTAGGATCGATCCCACGACCAGTATACCAGGCGAGGTAGTTAACATGTTGCTACCGTGGCGCCCCTGAGTTGGAGTCCTGACCAAGGCTAATATTAATTGCGACTGATGGTAATGAAAGGGTTCTCATCAACTGGAAGAGTGATCCTCATATAACCAGAGAAAACATCAACAGATTTATAATTCTTTGCAGGAGCAATCTTTCTTGGGATGTTTGGCCAGTTCCGTTTTTGAATATTTTATACACAGGGGGATGAAATCCAAAATACCAGAAAACATCCACGCGTAAAGTCATATAAATGTAGAATTTTTATGATGAAGGATAAACCCATCGGGGTGGAATGGGAATGCAGTCGGTTAGCGCACTGCGCTCTGGTTCCCAGCCATGATGAACGTCAGTGGTGAGTAATATCTGCTGAGGGCTCGGGTCACTCCCTTAACCAACCCACGCTGACCAGTGTGGCCAAATATGGTTAAATAAAAACCCATGACGAACATTGCATGTAAGAAGGCCTTCACCCAGCAGTGTATCGTCAAAGGGTGGTATTATAATAGCATCTAAATGGAATGTCATCACAAGATACTTTACAATTCGAAACAAAAAAGATAGAAAACATATGGGGTTGGTCAGGACAGGGAAACATTGAAGGTTAAATTAGTTCACGACATCCTTGGTCGCTGGCTGTAATCACATCATTTTTTTTATTGGAAAAGTGTTCAAATGATGGGGGGAGGTTATTGTGGTTTGTTTGAAACTGTTGCAACTGATGTATATCCTCATCATTGGAAAAGGGTGAGATGATTTAGGTACTAATGCCATGTTACTCTGAACTGGCACCGCTGAGTTCCTTTCCAGGTTTCAGCCATCTGTCGTTAAACATTGTACATAAGCAGACAAAGACACCTTCCTACATGTCCTCGAAACATAAAAGTAATTTTTACACATCCCGTCAGTCGAGACACATAAAGCAATGCACCATAGCCATCCCGTCGTGCATGTAAAATCAGTTTGTCCGAGTACGTATGACGCCATGATATTGTACGACTATCTTGAGCGTCAAAAATGGTGGACGACAATGTGTTGTTTTTCTGAATTGTAGTACAATCGTAATTGATTGACAATATCTTCAAAAGCAAAAAAAAAGTTACTTCAATATTTTACAAACGAATGCACGTGTGTATTGTGTCCTGCAATGTTCGTGTGAAATCGTGGAACTACCCACCAGCAATTTCAGACGAGGACAACCGCGCGGCAGCAATGTACGGAGCCATCGGGCTACTCCCACAGCCGAACCGTGACACCCTGGCCTACCTGATGCTGCACCTGCAGAGGTGAGGGCCTCATCTCTAACTGCCACAGGACATGACGTACTGGATACAGCTATTTTTAAATCCTTTAAGTTCACTTGCTTGCTTGCTTGCGCGCTTACGACCGTGCAAATCTTTCGGTCGTTTTTTAACCCACTTCCCGTGATCCAATCGAGCTGACATTTTGCACACAGACTCGTTGTGCGTGACAATTTATTTTCGTAAAAGAAAATTTCCAAAATTTTACACTTTTTAGGAAAATAAATTTCATATTTAATTTAAAATACCAATGTGATAAAAATGAAACTCTTACTCAAGAAAAACAGAAATGAATAATAAAATAAAACCGATGCCACGCATATAAAGGATTTATAGTGAAAAACTTTGTTTTTACGGGTAATTTTTAGTGTTATATTTTACGGATCATTTTAATGCCTCGTGTCGTGGTTTTCACACTCGACTTGCAATCCAGGGGTCGCCGGTTCGATTTACGGGTGCGGCATTTGAAACGATGGTGCAGGTTTCTTAAATCCCCCCCGCCTCTGTCCACTCAGCACTATAGTTAGTCGATCGGCAAGTTACATGTGGTGGGGTACAATATTTAGCCGGTGTGGATGAGTAGGCCAGAATGCACTCTGCAGTATATCTACACCTCAAACCTGTGGAGGAGATCCTTCAGCCAGCAGTGGCATAGGCAAGAAATTACAGGCTGCACCTTTACCCCATGCCGCACACGTACATGAAATAAACCCTTAGCATTGGTGTTGAAGTAAATGCTCTCGCTGTTTTGGTAATGTAATTCCCAATTGTAGGGTTCGTCATGTTCATTATGTAACATGAGTGGGAAGCCCGTTGAGATTTAACGCAAATGAATGACTTCGGGGAGTTTATTCACTCCCACTGCGATTTGATTAATTAAATTTGATGAATTAAAATTTCACAGTAAGACAATAATGTTTGTGTTATAATAATATAATAACAATGTCTAGCACGATAGTTACATTTTTTTTGGCAGTTGGGTATGACATCATTTTGTGTATGTGTAATGCGCTAGTGTAGCCCACTTACAATTTTTTGTGAGCTCTCCATCCTTCGTACAATCATACACAGGAATAACCTAATGCAATAATGTTAAAAGTAGATTGATGAAGCAAATGTAACAATTTCAAGAGGAGGTCTGTTGTATGATATTGCAACCGGGGGACGTGTCGGTGCCAGGCTATTGTAAATAATAGAATAGTCTGGTCAAAGGTCATATATTTTCAAAATGTCAAGCTTGTGCGCATAAAATACATATCACAAACTTTCAAATTACAATTTGGTGGCGTGGTCTCGGTAAGGTGGAGTATTCCAGACAGACGTATAGAGCAGTGGTTCTTAATATTTCCTGCAGCTCTGCACTCTTTGGTTCTCAATCGTTGAAAAAATATATAATATTCATAAATACATAGAGGTTTCATGAAACAAAGTAGTTCTACTTATGTGTTCGTGCTTAATTTGTGTTTCGATTATTTACTTTCTGGAAAAATATGGCATGTCTTGCATCCCCAAAAAGGGAATCTCGTACCTCCAGGGGGGGGGTGCGTGAACCCCAGGTTAAGAACCACTGATATAGGCATACCGCTTATTATATTATTTACATTATATAGCTAGGAGGCTTTATTTTCACAAGAGGAAGATGCTGCCCCTCGGTTGAATCCACTGAGGCTTGTGTGTTGGTCTCACATTGCATTGCCATTTGCCTGTGGCCTGCTTTTGCACCTTGCTTGTGAAGAGTGGCGGAGAGCACGGAGTGCAAAATGAATCAGTCCAACTTGTCCCGGGTGTTTGGACCGACGCTCGTGGGCCATGCCACTGCCAACCCCGAGCCCATGGTCATCATCAGAGACACGCGGCAGCAGCCCATGGTATGACCATCGCCACCGCCGTTTTCCCGCTCGCTGACCCTGAGGCTTGAGGTCACAGGATGTATATTACCTCTACAGGAATAAAAGGTGCTGCATGGAGGGCGAGGAAGGTGCTGGCACAGTGATTAGCGCAGTCTGCTATGAATACAGCAACTTGAGTTTGTCTCCTGCCCATGGTTAACATCACTAGCGAGTGGCATCTGAACTGGTTCTGTGACCCCTACCCCCTTCAACCTGCAGTCATCAATATAGTGCAGTATGGTCAAACAACCCCCATGAAATGTTGTGGAGAGACTTTCATTCAGCAGGAGACTGACAAATGTTTGAAAATAATAAAATTGATAACATAGATAAAGTACACCATAAATAATTCGCATGCAATTATTCGTTACGGACACAGCTCTTAACTGGGTGTGGTTCGTGGAGAGGTCAAGAAGTCATTGTGGCCAATGATGTTGATGCAATTACAGCTTGCCATCGCTTCTTCCTCATTCCCCAGGTGTGGCACAGTCTACACTGACCTCCCAAGGTCTGCTATTAAAATATTCCCCCATAACCATTTTTGTCTTCCCGAGAAAAGAGTGCTTCATAGTTGAGGGGAATCTTATTCATGAAGTAGAGTACATGTGGTGAACAAAAACATTTGGGCGACTCTGAGACAACTTTGTGCACCAATGCTGCAGGTGGTGGACCACTTAATGTCGCTCCCGGCCGAATTTTGGCAGCGTTGGGTAACATTCACAACATTTGTGGACAAAGAAAACAACGACAGCTCAACGGCAGCCGTCATCTCCAATGTCTACGCCAGTGTCTGCACGCCCCCGTTGAGAAGCCACTTCGGTAACGCACTTGCACGTCACAGCAAATAATTAATCGCAAGCCGCGTTTACATCCACTCGGTCTTTGGGTGCACCATTTGAAAATGTGATTGGATGTGTCCAACAAGAAGTGAATTCAGATAATAATTTTTTTTTTTTGATGAGATCACATCATACCTAAGATCTACTCCTAAGAGAACCTTCATAGCCTTTCCAGAATACTGGTTGATTTTTTTTTCATATTAACAAAAAAATGCAGCTGCACATTGCACCAGGATGGTTGGGAAATGACAAAACTGCACCGTGCATTTATCACGAGGACTGAGAATTAAGAAACTGCAGAGTAAAAAATTCTGCAGGCTCATGTTATAAATATTGATGATATTTAATTAGCTGTTGTGTTGTTGTGCACCAGGAGGCAACTTGCTTGGCCCCCTGGTAATACCGGATACACCAAAGATTTCGCCCCAGACCAATCGCATGCACCTGAGCAAGATCCCGATCAACACGATGTAAGTTCGCTCGCACTGCCAATGAGGTGATGAATGGGGCCATCTTGGAGAGTACGTCAAGGTGGCACGCTCTTTTAATGCTGTGACATTTGCTTTTATTTCCTGCCAGGAATTCTGGAAAGAATAGGCCGATGCCTTCGGGGAGGAAGATCGGAAACTACTGGTCTTCTCCATCCCTCACTTAAACTCTTCAGTCCCGGTGCACATCCGTTAACGAATTCCACGGATGGACCTTGGCCTGGGACTTTTATGATTGAAAAATTATGGATGCAGCTTCTGTTTGTGCTGCCATCAAAATGAACAGCAAATAAATAACAATACTGATTAGCAGAGGTGGGACAAAGTCATTGTTATGCAAGTCCAAGTCGAGTCTGAAGTCATCAAATTCATGACTCGAGTCTGACTCGAGTCCAAGTCACATGACTCGAGTCCACACCTCAGCTGATTAGTGCATACGGGATCCCCAATGGTGTTTTCCCTTTTCGTCACTCAAAACATGTGTGCTTAATGCCACTTGTGGTTCCTCGGCTGTGATGCATACAATAATGTGTGTGTGTGTGTGCTGCCATTGTATACGACCAGATTGTGTGCTACAATGTACAGTGTCACGGTCAAGCCGAGATGTATGTAGTTCCTGCTCATTGTGTGCATCAATCACGGTGTGCACGGTGTAGCACTGTAGCAAGTGCACATGTTGATTTGCTGCCAATTATCACGTGTTGGTGTGTGCGGTGTACAGTTTGTATTAGACGTGTGTGTTGAAGTGCTGTAGCAAGAGAGGGCACACTTTAAAAGTTGAACTTTTTCATATCACGTTTTTTCTTGCACATATAACAACTTGGAACAGTTTGTAGGTCAATGTATTTATTGCATTAATAATGAAGTGTGGCTGTTTCAACCAGCTCTATTTTTAGCACGTCGCAAAGTATTGCCCCGATCGCGTACTCAAGTGTTTGGTATCATCCATCTGTTATTAAAGCACTCCGTACCCAGCGCAGGCAGAGGTGCATCAGTTCGTGTTTTAAAATTAATGCACACAAAGCAGCACATGGGAGTGTTAGTCTGTGACCCTGAATTCCTAGACATGTAGCCTGTGAAAGGTATTTTCTGTGTTCTGTTTGACCGTAGTCTGTATTGTTTACACAAATACTAATACTTAATTATACTTGAAAATGGGGGGGGGGGGGGGTAAAACAAAAGTTGGAATGTGAATAAAAAAATAAAGGTTTTATTGGATAACCAGTCTGGATAAAAAAAGTTGTTTTTGTAAGTTTTGTTTCTTTTTAAGTGTACATGTTTCATCATCGTTATTGGACATGATCTGCCCACTGCTGGAAAGAAAGCCTGCTCACGTGATCGTCACCTTTCATGGGCTTGTGATGCCATAAATCCGTCCGTTGCTTTTCAAATTCCATGTTGGGCAGTCCCTCCATCGTTAGTCTCGATGAAGTGTTCTATGTTGAAATTTTTAATTATTAACGTACACTGAAAAACATCCTCGCTGGCATAAATAACATCCGTTTAGTGTATGCCTAAGGCGACAGCGCTACCGTCAATTTGTGATGGCAGCCTATCCAGGGCCAACCTCCACCCTTGATAATTGGTTCTTTACCCTTCTATCTGGCAACAAAACTGACACCTTTTTACAAGGAGTCATGTTTGCATAGACTGCAATACCTGCAGTCATAAATACAAACAAAAGACATAACTCTGATAATGTGCACTGTCCTTGAAGTTGATTGGTCCACACCCGAGACAGCTTTCCTTAAAGCTGTCTCGGGTGATTGGGTGTGGACCAATCAACTTCAAGGACAGTGCACATTATCAGAGTTATGTCTTTTGTTTGTATTTATGACTGCAGGTATTGCAGTCTATGCAAACATGACTCCTTGTAAAAAGGTGTCAGTTTTGTTGCCAGATAGAAGGGTAAAGAACCAATTATCATATTTTTACTGGCAAATGAGGTCCCCATAGTGTAGATGTTTGCCCCAACCTCCACCCTTGTTTGTTAACTCGATAGAATGACAAAATGTAATTGAAAGAATAAGACGAGAAAAATGTTATAGGTTCTCGACGAGACGACATGTCAAAATCTGATATATTTATCCGCCTAGGTCTCATCCATACTGTTGTGTTGAACCACCATACATATTCTTGGTTCTTTCGGTAAAGTCACGTAGAAGGGAAGTAATAAAATAATAAAAATAAAACAATTCTCACGACGTTTCGGCCACAACGCAAGTAGCCGTTGCGTTGTGGCCGAAACGTCGTGAGAATTGTTTTATTTTTATTATTTTATTACTTCCCTTCTACGTGACTTGACCGAAAGAACCAAGAAGATGAATCCCTGCAGTCACGAAAGCTTTAAATCGAAATTCCACCATACATACTGAAGGTCAAAACTTATCGTTTTGCTTATTCCCTTGTTACTATCGATGTTTGCGATTCCCTTCCATCATCTCTGTTCGGTAATTAGCACCTTGTGCAAGTCAAGAAAATGTATGAACTCATCGTAATGGGCCGTCCATAAATGACGTCACGCGATTTTTGCCTATTTAATGTGGCGCTGCACTCTTACGTTGTAGGAGAAACATTTATTAAAAAGTATATTTAATTAAGTAGAACGTGCTTATATTTATTTAAAGTTGCGCATTTTGATGTGGCGTCACATTTCTTAACCCCCACTCGTCACACCTCGTCATATGTCTGACCCCCCCCCCCCCCAGGTGCGTGACGTCATTTATGGACGGCCCCTAACCTCTTTTTGCAACCTACTGGTTTCTAGCCCCTCGTCTCTTTACGCACGTGGTTTCCGTGCTCGGTGATAGTTATTTAACAATGCCAAATGTACTCGTGGCACCCACAGTGGCTAACCCCTGGGTTGAACCCCGGTTTATTGTGGTTTATTGTGTGTGCGTGTGTGCCACGTGTTCATAACGTGGGCATTTATGGGTTTTGTTCGAATGGCTCACGCGCCAAATGTGGGGCCAGATGATTGCGTCTGCAGCATCATAAATCCCTCTCATTATTGCGAGAGCCGCGGAACAACAACGCGTCGCTGTTGACGCATAAAAAAAAAAACACTCGACGATACATGCTCAGCGCGGCGAAAATAAACGTGTCGTTCACAAGTCGAAGTTTACAAATGCACTATCCGTAACGTGAACTACGGCAAGATGAACACGCGGATGTATTGGCACGGTTGGCTACGTACGGTGCGAAAGAAGTTCAACATTCTACATTTATCTCCACGTTTCCTTACAAGTATTGGGATCCACGGTTGCACACTGGGAAATCTTAGGATGGAATTGTCCATTTGAATTATGATTATCTCCGTGCAGGACACGCATATCTCTGTGTGTTCTCCCACCGTCGGTATAAGGGGCCGTCCATAAATGACGTCACGCACCTAGGGGGTGGGAGGGGGGTCAGACATTTGTGACGATGGGGGGGGGGGAGGTGTTTGAGAAATTTGATGTCACATCAAAATGCGCAACTTTAAATAAATATAGACAACACGTTCTACTAAGTTAAATTGACTTTTTAATAAATGTTCTACAACATCAGAGTGCAGCGCCACATTTAATCCGCAATACAATGACAATAGTTTAAAGCGATTTGAAGCATGTTTTATATATTTTTTTTTTGGGGGGGGGCACAGCTTTGTGACGTCATAATTGAGGGTGGGGGGGGTCTGACTTTTTGTGACGCCGTGCGACGAAGGCGGGGGGGGGTCAAAAATCGTCCAAAATCACGTGACGTCATTTATGGGCGGCCCCTAACCCCGTGCATCTTTGAGCAACCGCGACACACGCATCACTTTGTGGATGGTCTTGCTGCTGGGGTCCCCCCCCCATCTCCCCCCCTCGAGTCGCTGATCACGTGGCAGGGAAGAGCCGCACGCCGCACGCATGGCGGCGGCGATGGGAGGGATGCGCTGAGCGCGTTCATTGCGGTACCAACTCCACATCCACACTCGCTCCTCTCCCCCTGTCGCTGTCGCACGCACAGACACACACATTGTGTCGTGGTCGTAACGTGTGTGTGTGTTGTGTGTGCGTAGCGGACAACGAAGATAGCCTCAACCTTGGACGTTATTCTCAGCACGTGCAGTAGTAGCTTGTGGTGTCTCTTATCGTCTCGCTCTTTCATTATTATTTTTATGTTTTTTTTTGTAATTCTCCCGGATGCTACATTTGTTGCGTTTCGTCGCAATGCCGGGTTCATTGCGGCAGTAGGACGCTGCGCTGTTATACCCGAGTTCGATTCGTGGTGGCCACGGCTCACATCAGTGGCATCTGAACAATACATCCACCACCTTCACCAGCCGTCGTGAAGTATAGTCAAACGATTCCTTCATCCAGCAGTGGACTGACCAAGGACTGTGTGTGTGTAAGGTGTAGCTGATGTGCAGGGCGTCTCTGCTGCTGTGCCTGTGCCAATCTCCAGCCGGTAAGAAGTGTATCCACGTCTTTACGATACAATATTGTGGTGGTGGAGGCAATCCAATGATAACGATTCGCACCTGAACTCTGTGCGCGTGTGTAAGTGGCGGACTATTCTGTTTGAGTGTTAAATATACAACATCATTGACGACACGCGCTTCCGTGAAATGTCTTAAGTCGTATTTAAAGTATTGTGTGTGTTGTGTGTACGTGGTACTGTATGCGTGCACGTGTACTGCGGGAGTCACGTGTACTGCGGGAGTCACGTGAAAAGCACGTGTAGTTGTATACTGTACAATGCACACTGCTCTCCCATTCAAACGCGCTGTGATTGGTGGAATACAACAATATAATGATGTGATCCTGCGCCTAAACGGGAACAAGAGCAACCTCCGTGCCTCCAGAGCTGGTAGGGATTAGGTTTGAACAGCTGTGCGGGGGGAGCATTTAGTGCTGATCTGTATTGTAGCAATTTGTTAAGCCGCGTGTTTACGTACGGGTATAGATGTGGCTGTGGAGTCGGTGGTGCAGTGGGTTGGCACACTGCCCTTCTGTATTAACCCGTATTAAAGATCGATTCCTAGACACGGAACAACATCAGCGGTGGATGACATCAGAAGCTGTGCTGCTGGAATTATTGACCCCGTTCACCAACCCGCACTGAACAGCGTGGTGGAAACTGAAAAGTATGGTATAAAATAAAATTAAAACCCCATTACTGACATCTGTTTTTCGTATTCCCCTTGCATGCAATGGATTCGGGCGACTATTGCGACCGCAAAGTAAAAAAAAATCACCAAATCGTGAATAACATCGCCACCCTGAGTCGTGATAATTTATCAAGACGCAGCAGTGCCGGATTAAGCTCATGCGGGGCCTGGAGCAAATGTTATAAAGGGGCCCTAAATAAATAAAAACACAAATATTAAAACACAAATTTGTCACTTACATAGTAAAGTAATTGTATTTATTTGTTTGCTATACAGCCAGATAATACGACAAATCGATAACTTTAAACACCCAGTCGTTCATAAAAGTTGAACACCGTATAGTACTATAGTAATAGAGCAAGTGGAAAATCACTTAACCGGAATTGATAGCTTTAAAGCATTTAGCGCGGGGCCCGTAGCATATGCTACTGATGTTACTAGGATAATCCGGCACTGCCAATACGTCTGTCTGTGGAGCCGATGGGCAATGCGTCTAAAGTGGGCCCGTATCCACTAATTTTGGCTGTGCGTGAATGAGACTGGCACAGAGATGAGATCAAGGGCATTCATGGTGGTTACTGTTCTAATCTCTCGCATGGCAATATTTTCCAGGAGCTAAATGGCAATGTGTTGAATGAACGCAGACAAATGGTTTACGATATGGTACACATACTCTTAGGTTTTTTCGGTGAAGTCACGTAGGTAAAATGAAAATAAAATAAAATCATAATAATACATGAAAATAAATCAATTAAATCACGACGAAAATAACTAGATAACTGCAGTTATTTTGCTGTGCCTTTTTACACATGATGAAGGTTCCAAAGAACACAGGATGAGATGTTACTATCCTTTGTGCAAGCACTTCCAAGAGTTCATGAACAGTGAGCCTGGTGAAATTTGGGGAGCGCATCGTCAGTAGTGACCCTTTGGTTCCTAGGGTGTTTCGGCCTTTCATACTATACACCCTCTCCAAAGGCGGCCAGCGACAGGGTGATCAATCCTACGCTTGCGTCCCATTCCCAATTAGTCATAGGAGTTGCCTTGTTGTTGATAGCCAACATCCCATGGGACTATGCATGGCAGGGGCGTCCTCCTCCCTGAGTCAAGCATTGTGGACTGCATACCTCCTGGCCCACTCACTTTGGGGCCCAGCTGGGGTCTTTCCTCTTCATCCAGAGCCACTGACTGCTGCCTTCTGCCGCCTCCGATACAGCTCTGATTGCCGAACGCTGGCTCTGGCCCTTAATTCCCAGGTCTCTAAGCAGTCTGGTTGTAGATGTTGCCACAAAACCTCTGCAGCCCACCTCCACTGGTCGGACTTCTGTGTTCCAGCCATGATGCCGTGCTTCGGCAGCTAGATCGGCATAGCGCAGATGTTTTCGCTCATAAGCCTCATCTACTGAGTCCTCCCAGGGTACTGTGAGCTCAATGATGAAGACCTTCTTGAGCGAACTGGACCAGAGCACCATGTCAGGTCTTAGGGTGGTGGTTGCGATCTCCGGAGGAAACACAAGTTGCCGGCCAATGTCAGCTAGCATTTTCCAGTCGCGGGCCAAGCATAGCTGGTCTCGCTCTATTGGTGTAGAGCCGCTCTTCGGTGGTTTAGCCCCTTCGCGGACAAAGGTCGTCCGTAAGGGGTGTGATGCTGCTGGGGGTGGTAGGGAGTTGGTGGCAGCTCGCTTGTCCTCCAGGGCGGACGCAAGGTTTTTAAGGACTTGGTTGTGACGCCAAGTGTAGCGTCCTTGGGTGAGGCTTGTTTTACACCCTGTGAGAATGTGCCTGAGGTTGGCTGGCATGGAACAGAGGGCACAGTCCGGATCTTCACCATACCATTGGTGAAGATTAACTGGTGTTGGAAGGATGTCATATGTTGCTCTGATGGAAAAGCTCAACCGCCTCGCTTCCATGGCCCACAGATCCTTCCAGCTGATCTTCCTCTTCTCCACACTGTCCCATCGAGTCCACTGTCCTTGTTTGGCAAGAGAGACTGCCTTGGCCCACCTTGCAGCCTCCTCCTGATGGCGTACTTCCTGCACTACCATCTTCCGCCGCTCTGGTGCAGTGGCCTTACTCCAAGCAGCACGGCAAGTTAGCCCAAGGCCTCCTCTCCCTTGCTGAACATGACCCACAATGTCAGCATGTCTGAGGGCTGCTGTTGCCTCCTGGACTGCTTTTCCTGGCCTCCATTTGCGCCCAGTTGCCAAGGTCGGCGCGTTGTTGCTCACCACTGGGTCTCGAGATTCATTCAGTGTCATCTGGAGCCTGGTTTTTGCACACTTGAATTCCTCGGTTAGACTGGTGAGGGGCAGCTTGAGGACACCATCTCCATAGAGGCCTATGGTGGTAAGGCATCGTGGAACTCCGAGCCACTTCTTTAAGTAGCTCGTGGCTCCTCTTTCCATCTTCTCCACTGTTGAGATTGGAACCTCATACACTGCTAGGGGCCACAACACCCGGGGTAGGAGACCAAACTGCAGACACCAGGCCTTTAACTTTCCAGGTAGCTGGGTGTTGTCGATGGACTGTAGGCTACTACTGATGTCTTTGCGCAGCTGTTGCACCTGGTCTTTGTCCTTCAGGCTTGCATCATACCACCTTCCAAGGCTTTTTACCGGCTGCTCAGACACTGTTGGGATTTGGTCATCTCCGATGAAGAATTTCAGGTCACAGAGTACTCCCTTCACAATCGAGATGCTGCGTGACTTGGATGGTTTAATCTTCATACGGGCCCAGCTGATGTTCTCCTCGAGTTTTCTGAGCAGTCTCCTGGTGCATGGGACAGTGGTGGTCAATGTTGTAATGTCGTCCATGTAGGCTCTGAGTGGAGGGAGGCGAAAACCAGAGTCGACTCGCTGTCCACCAGCAACCCATTTTGAGGATCTGATGATAACCTCCATTGCCATTATGAATGCCAATGGAGAAATGGTACATCCCGCCATTATACCTACATTCAGGCATTGCCATGAGGTGGTGAACTCTGAGGTGGTGAAGCAGAACTGCAGATCCTGAAAGTACGACTTCACCAGGGTTGTGATGGTGTCCGGTATGTGGAAAAATCTGAAGGCAGACCACAGGAGTTCATGGGGCACAGAGCCAAATGCATTGGCGAGGTCGAGGAAGACTACATGGAGGTCCCTTTTCTCCACCTTGGCCATTTGGATCTGGTGCCAGATCATGCTGGAATGTTCCAAGCAGCCAGAGAACCCTGATATTCCTGCCTTCTGTACAGATGTATCGACATACGCATTCCTTTGCAGGTACTCGGCCATCCTCTGGGCAATGATCCTAAAGAAGATTTTACCCTCGACATTCAGTAAGGAGATTGGGCGGAATTGGCTGATGTTCACTGCATCCTTCTCCTTAGGGATCAGGACCCCGCCTGCCCTACGCCACACTTTGGGTATTATCTTCTTTTGCCAAGCTGTTCTCATAAGCCTCCAGAGGAACCTCAGAACGTCTGGTGCGTTCTTATACACTTTGTACGGGACTCCATTTGGCCCCGGGGCTGATGCTGTTCTTGCCCTTCGAACTGTGTTTTCCACCTCTTTCCATGTCGGAGGGCTGGTCTCAATATGATGTTCCGGGGGTTCAATGGGTGGGATATCTGATGGGATGGCCAGATGTTCATGTCGCTTTGAGTCAAAGTTTGTTGTTCTCAGGTGCTCTTCTAGGTCTTTCTTTGTTGTTTTTAGAACTCCACTTTTTTCCTTCGTGAAGAGACTTTTAAGGAACTTGAAGGGATCTTTATAGAATCGAGTTCTAGTTTGTTCTTTCTTCCTTCTGCGCTTCCGTAGGTTCTCTGCTCTACGGAGGGATGCCAACCGGGTTTTGATGTCAGCCTGAAGTGCCTCTATGCCCTCCTTTTCCACTTCCGAGGCTTTCTTCCACTGTTTCTTAAGCTGTCTCCTTTCTTGAACGAGGCACTTGATTTCTTGTTGCCTCCTGGAAACTGGTGGGGTTGGAACCTTTCTCCCGCCTTTTGCCTCTTGCACTCCAAAGCTTTCTGCCCCGTACTCATAGATGATGTCCCCCATCCTCTCCAACTTCTTCTCCACAGTGCCTCGAAGTTTCTCGAGGGTCAAGGTAAGGTCAGTATTCACTGTTTCCCACAACTTCTTGTCACTGGCGCCAGGCCACTTCACATACGGTCTGTGCCCTGGTAGTCTCCTCTCGATTGCAGGTCTCGGAGGCTGGGTGAGTTCCACTCCTGTTGTTGGTTCCACCTCAGTTGTTACTTCGGTGCTTGAGTTTACGTCCTCCATGACAGTGGTACTGATGCCTCCAAAACGTCGTGATTTAATTGATTTATTTTCATTTATTACTATTTTATATTTTTACCTACGTGACTTTACCTAAAAAACCTAAGGGTATGAATCCTTGCAGTCACGAAAGCTTCAAATCTAGAAAGATATGGTACACAGTTTGTGTTGCATGATCGCAATCACACTCCTGTGATGTGTCTGTCATGTTCCATTCATGAAGAAGATGTCTACGTCGGCCTGTTGGTGTTCTGAAGTGGTTAACGGTTCCACTGGTGTCTTCAAAAAATGGGGCCGTCCATAAATGACGTCACGCACCTAGGGGGGAGGAGGGGTCAGACATTTGTGGGGGGGGGGGGGTTTGAGAAATGTGACGTCACATAAAAATGCGCAACTTTAAATATAGACAACACGTTCTACTTAATTAAATCTACTTTTTAATAAATGTTTTCTCCGACAACATCAGAGTGCAGCGGCACATTAAATACGCACTACAATGACAATAATTTCAAGCGATTTGAAGCATGTTTTATTTTTTTGGGGGGGGGGACGGGGGGCAGAGCTTTGTGACATCATATTTGAGCTGGGGTCTGACTTTGTGACGCCGCGTGACGATGGGGGGGGGGGGGGGTAAAAAAATCGTCCAAAGTCGCGTGACGGCCCCAATGTCAAACCAGGAGGTGCGATGTTTGGATCACGAATGATGTGTTTATTCATGGCATCATTGCTGTGAATTGAATTGGCCAAACATCCCAATACAGGGTCCCTCTAAAAATAACTCTTGAGACGCAGCTTTTACCAGTTAAATATTGGGAATTGCTACAGTTGCCTTTAAAACGCTATTGGTTGTGTTAGAATGTTTAGTTTCTTCTGAAATGCCAGCATGGAGTTTTTTTTGTTGTTGTTGAAAGTCTGCACTTTCACCGAACATTGATTGCCGCTGAAGCTTTCATTAAATTTTGCTGCTTCAGTGCATGTTGTAAATGTAATGCATTTTTCAAAGAATGCAGATCGTGCTTTTTCACAGATGAGTCTAACATTAAATCATGTATACATATTTCAGTATTGATACCATTTCTGACTATTACTATTATTTTTGAATCTTGTTACAAGACATCTGACTGGAATGGAAGAGTACCAAAAATACCATCTCGAGGAGCTGTCTAGAGCTCCCTCTAATGGAAGGCCCTTTCTCCGACAGTGGCTGAATATTGTAAGCCTACAGTATTCAGGTACTGCATAATGCTACATGCTGGGTGATCCATTTATAAATACCCCACTAAAATTATCGAGATAAAATATTGTATTTCAGAACCTCTCTCTCCATGTAAGATTTGGGGCAATTGCTTTGACAATATTCATCAGCTTCTTTGAGATGGAAGCACCTTTGAGAATGATGAGAAATCAGCAGGGAATCTATGTATGGATTTATCTGTATATACAGTGGACTGTACCAACAGTGTTTCATATGCACATTATCGTGATGTACACAGCGTAGAATGTGCATCGCTCTGCAGTGGGTGTCAAACAGTGATAGGAATTTGGCGGGAGCTGCTCCCCTTTAATGTGAGTGGAAAGTGGAGGCATGCATGTAACATGGCCCTTGTGCTGCCTAGACGCATGCAGCACCCTTGCTGTTCCCTTTATGCATTCCTCCTGGTGCAGTGTGTTCACTGAACCAAGAGGATATTCCCGCTAATGCTGTTTTAGCCATTGCAAAGGAATAAAACCCTTGTGCCCTGGCAGCTTTGCCAACGCTTGGCATCTCCAAGCTAAGGAACATTGCTCCATTCTGTTTGCAGCCGGACAGAGAAGGTCCCCTACACATACACGGTGTGTTCTATCCATATTTACTTTCAGCTCCTAGCCAATGGAATTTTAACATCCTATCGAGGTGAGGCAACTCCAATCAGGGAAATTCAGTGTTGCGTATACTTTTCTTTTTACTGGAATCTCCCATTGTGCATGATAAGACAAGATCCTCTGTCTCAGCTGGAGTCGGGCCACACCACATCGGTATCTCATTAATCTGCTGGTCCACTGCGATGATTCACTGTTGGTGACGTGTAGCGAAATGAAAGTGGCCTCATGAATTCACTTTGATAGACCAAGCCCATGTAGGCAGTTAGTGTTTCTTTGCACGCACGGAGGGGGGAGGGGTGTGTGAGCTGTGCCATGTGCATCAGCAGTGAAGTTTTTATTTCATGTGGACCTTCAGTGTGCCGTATTGTTGAGTGTATGTGGAAGAGTAGCATCGTGAAACCAAATGAAAGATAGTGATGGTTTGGGGGAGACCTTCGAAGATCCTACAGTGGATAGATCAGTGCAGATGACATTGTTCACTGTAAAGTGTACATGCACACTGTGTGAAATGAAGGATTCGTCATTCAAACCGCTGCTGATAGCGTTGGGGGTGGCACAGTTATGTTAATGTGGCATGTTATTTGTTTTCCTGTGTTTAAAACCGTTTGTGCTCACCTGGTATGCTGCCTAAATTAATCCACGACTACGCCTGTGGTTTAGGAGAAATTCTGCTGGGATTCATCTACCTTTTCACACTTTCTCGTGATACTTGCAGTCAGAGCTACAACTGAGATGCATTGTTTTTTCCTGATAGCTTGTGTACCAACTAAGGAGCCATCCATTTAGTATGTACGCTTGCATATGGGGGGTCCACTGACAATGTACGTACCCATAGGAAACGGGGGGGGGGGGGGTGAAACCTTGATAATAATTTGTCTACATTGGCCTTCAAATGAGTTAGATAGTCCGGCGGTGGACTATCTGTTTGAGTAAACACGTTAATATTATGCGTACTGGGAGGGCGGAAGGGGTGAAGTTTTGATAGATTTTGTGTGTACGCACTAAATGGATGGCCACTAAGCGGTTTAAAACGGTTACATTCCAGAATAGTTGCATGAATACTATAATTTTTTTATTCGTATGGGGGCAGTGCACATGAAAAATATGGTTTTGCATTTGGGGTAAAAAATATATGCAATATTTTAAATGAGTGTGTGTATGTGGGGAGCGGTGGCGCAGTGGTTAGCATACTGCGTTACAAACCCGGCGACCCGTGTTCGATTCCAGCTCATGGCCAACACCGGTGACGATTATCTAAAGCAATCCTGGGCCTCCCCTAGGTCGACTCAGGCTCAAATGAGTACCTCGTACAGTGTGTAAACATCGCCACTGGGAAGACAAAGGCGGCCGTGCGTGGTGCTGGCCACCCACCCCCTTGTGTGCCACGCCGGCCTTCATAGGTTCTTGCCAACAGCATTTGCCCCAAATAGTCTGTTAAGGCTATATGGGGGGTCTTTGTAATACACAGGAAAACCATGTCAATTAGCAGTTTTTCTTTCCTCTGCAGTAGTGTAATTTGCAGAAGTATAAGATCTTAAGCTTCAAATGTATAAAGTCACGTGTCCCATTTTGTTTACAAATCATGTGACTGCAGGAAAAGAAACACGTGCGCTGTGTTAATCTTTAATACTTTACAGCCTTTTTCGTGTCTGCATGCTTGCGTACTCGCGGACACTTTCAGCGGCGTCACAGAGTAAACTTCACCTTGCAATGTCTGCAAAGAAAATCTCATCCTACGATTCACAAAGGGGCGACGGTGCTCGTGTGAATAAGTGAGGTTTGCGGATCAGTGCTTGGTTGTGTAGCGCATCATGATGGTATGTTTGATGATTATAATTAATGTGCTTTTATTGTTGCTCTCACTCCCTTATTGTTAGTAACAGAATTTGTGCTCTGCCCAAAGTGCCACTATTCTTGTGTAACGTTTGACAGCTTGCACTGCGTCTGTTTCTCTTTTCAGATTATGCGGACTCTGGTATGTGCGTCTTGGTCCGACGTCAACACCGTGAGGGTTGAGTCTCGCTCGCCTGTATGGGCCCTGCCCCTCCACTGACTTGTGGCCGGCCCTGCTCCATGCTTTGGCTGCCATAGTAAAGCGATCGATGACTCGGACCTGCCAGAGCGTTGATAAAGAGCTACACGGTCAATGCTGAACACAGGAGTGCAGTGTGCCTGTCAGCACGTGACCCATCTACCTTCAGCCTTTAGTGGCTGAACTTTAGGTGAGTAACAACACGAATAGAAAATAGAGGTAGTCGGTTCTATTCCATCTGCTGGTGCTGTCGTTGAAACAATTCTGCAAGTTTCTTAAATTCCCTTTGCAGTTGTCCATTTGGCAGGATAAATGGGCACAGCAGAGTTAGTCCATCAGCAGTTGGGGTACTGTAGGAGTACTCTCACTTCTTCCAAGACATCTGACCAGCATGGAAAGCATGCCACATTACCCGTGAGAGAGGCTGTTTAAAATTCCCTCAGAGTGGAGGTCCTTCCGCCAGTAGTGGCAGGGGAAATAAATGCGGGGCTGCTCCTCTATTTTCACAAGCAGACGAAAGCTATACAGACTTGTAATCGCGCTACACTGGAGTTAGCATCTCCGTTGCTTGTAAACACCAACCTGTCTGGCTTAACACGTGCGCACGTGAATTCCTGCTGCTGGTAAGCATACCGTCGCTCATCAGGCTGAATATTAATTGTGGTTTATATTGATGTATTTACATCAGAGATGAATCGCCGCGAGCGGAGACAAGAGATGGACTTTGCAAACAGCGCCTCCAGCCCCGCCATGTTTCCGGTTAGTCTTCGCACGCGTCTTTACAGTTCTCTGCTAAAAATAATATACATTTTGACTTGCCGGCGTGCACGGCTCGTCACTCGTGCTGTGCACAACTCTTTGTGATGGCGCAGGGTAGAAGGTATGAATGCTTTGATGTGAAGTGGAAGTCCTCAAAGGCATGTGGTGAAGCGGGTAACGCAGGTAGTGACTTGTTGCCGTTCAGGATGTTTAAAGAAGGTTGTGGAGGCCCTTGGGGCGCTGCGGTGGTGAGATGTTAACTACCTCGCCTGGTATACAGGAGGACATGGGTTCGATCCCCACCCTGACGCCTGTATATTAGGAGTTTGCGTGTTCTTCCCGTCGTCACGTGGATTTTTCTCCGGGTCCTCGGGTTTTTCCCCTCCACATATAGAAACGTGCGGTTTTTCAGTATTTGGCTGCTATAAATTTCCACGTGGTAAGATACTTCATTGTGCTATCATTTGTGGCTATGTCGCTTCTGAAAAACAGCTATATAGCTCAGTGGGCCTGACCTGGTCAAATAAAAAAGTAGTTTATGGTTTTAAATAAGTTTTATATTAACAGCTAGAAAGGACAGTTGTTTAAAGTAATGTGTGTTCGTAGTGGAGATGCACTTATATATTGAGTTTGGTGATTGCTGCATAAGCCAATACTTGGAAGAAGGGATAGGAGAAAATGCTTTGAAAGTTGCAGGTCTCATCAAGGATAGTTTTTAGATGACGAAAACAGATAGAAATCCGTAGTGAATATGAATTTACAATGTATTGTTTCACTCATTACACACAAAGTACTTGCCACAAATGAACCACAATATCTTGCTGATCTCCTCAATAAACATACATCCTCGCAGTGGCTTTTGGCTAGCCATCAAACAAAAATGGTCACTGCATTGCACTAATGTGGATGCGCTTCTGCGACCATCTGGAAAGTTCATCCTTCCGATACTAATGCAATTTAAAATGTCCTCTTATTAAAGCCCGGCGTTCCGTTTGTCTGTTTGTCCATCAACTAAAAAGGGTTGAAAATGATTATTTGTTTATAACGATAGGGCATAATTAGGAAGACCTAAAACATCGTGGGCTGTCAAGAATGAAGGATGACTAATAGCGAAGTCATTGTTATCTTATCCGTAAGGCATAGCAGGTAATCTACACGAATTAAAAAACGATTTAAAAACGTTGTAAAAATAGAGGTGCAAAACCCAATGCCAATTAGAAATGCTTTATAATAACTGGAGGTAAATGCAGATACATTGTGATTTAAATATGCAGCATGTGTTGACATATGTTTTGACCTTTCTTAATATTAATGTAACGGTTTAAAACATTTCAGAGCAAGACAAAGTCAGAGGAAGTGAATCAGTTTCGAAGAAATCATTTTGGCTCATTACTGTTTTTGCTCATGTTTTGAGATATGTCTGTGTTATATTGTTTACGCTGCGAATTACATCATTAGCCCCGAGGTGTAAGGCATATCCATTTCAGACGTGTTGTGGGTACTGATGAAGGTCTATTAGATTAAATATCGACAATAAATTCACGTTTAACTATCTCGTCATCCTGTTGTCTGGCACCACTGCTCGTGTGTTCTACAGTAAGTGGTTGTTCTGCAATCTCACATCCACATTTCAGACATTTTAAATGTGAGTAATCGTTACTAAAATCATGATGTGGACATTTTTCGTTGGAATAGTTGGTCAACAAAAAAAGGTAGAAATCGGTTCTGCCTTAATGTAAGGTAGAAATGCTCATTCAATTGTACAATTAAATAATATGGTGGTGGACATGCAGATTGATTTTTGTGGCCCACGCTCGGATGGTGATGGTGCATTCATATCTGTGTGTCGAACCATTGTTTCATATGCCACGAAAAATACTATTTTTTAAACCATGGATAATTACTTTCAAAATACCCAATATGTATTGTTAGGATAACTGTAATGTTTTTACTGATGTTTCCTAATTTATTCTTACAGTATTGTAGAGTATTGCGTTGTAGAAGGAACATAGTTGAGCTCATTCACTTTGCTCCTAAGTGTAACAAATTGAGCCATCCCTATTTATCACGGGACCATTTAAAGATAAATTGTTGTTGATTGTTCTTAACTCCACAAGTCCTGTTTGGAGTTCCACAAATGCTCAATGCCTGGGCCTTTGCGTAATTCATTTTTGACACCGTTTACATAAATACAGACAAAGCGTACTTTTGTCGCTGTATTAAAAAGAAAATCGGCAGGATACTACCAAGTTCTTTTTTTTTCCACAAAACTTTGTAATGTTTGTAAATGCAAAACTCCTGAGCTTTTTTGATGTACAGAAATCGAGCCACATTTTGGTCAGATGACACTCACATTGCAAGTGTGTGGATGTTTTTAGAATGATACGACGCTGTTCGCTTTTGATACAAGGTAAATCATCATTGGCCATGATCAATCCGAAACTGGATGAATGCCTCCCCCAGCTGCCACCGTCTCTCATGATATTGCTGTGCAACAAACAATCCAACGGCACTTACACATTAACGTGTTTCATCGCTCCATCTCTTTGGGAGAAGCCCTCTCGGGCGTGTTCCGTTCCTCGATTAACCACTCCGTTATAATCCTTGACCATCGTCTATCATTCTAGCGCCATATCATGTCGTCATAGTCCCCTTGACTTTTCCTAACAGTTTGCTTGATCTTGTGGAGTGTATAGCTTTAAGCAATGTTTTAGAACACTGACGCAAACGCTCAGGAGGTTCCAGAGGACAACCGGAGCTCAAACAAAAACATGTGACCGGTGGGGTTGTTACTGAACATCGATTTTGAGACAACGCTGTCAACATCATTGTGAATGATGGTATTTAAAAAAAAGTATTTTTTTCTCACTGTTACTTAGGTTACTTTTGATGTTCTTTACAATTTTCCTTACAAAGGCATCTTCCTAGACGTATTTTTTTTTATTGCAGAAGTCTAAAGCTGCAACGATACGTGTTTTGTTGTTGCTGATTAAAATTGCATTCCCCATGGGTCCTTAAGAGGATTGACAGTAGCAATAAGCAGATTAGAGCACTCAAAAGTAAAATTACCTGGATGGGAATGAATTCTTTGGGCACAATTGTGCATTTAAAACGATCCCGTGTAAGCTGTGCATTACAGCACCTACCGGATTCCAGGACGATTAGCGTGACCGACTTTGCTAAATCTTGCGTGACTTCAAAACTTCTACAAAATGTCACATTGACAGGGAGAGACATCCGATGTTCTTGCGATATTAGTAATCCGGCTCATACATTAATGAGCCTGACCTTTCGGACAACCTGTTGCGCTCGCTAAAGTTATTCAACCTTGATGTGAAAAGACGTTTCATAATATTGCATTGGGACAAATACGGTGTGAACGTGTGTGTAATATATTCAGATGTGTGTTTCCCCCCCACCCCCGACCCTCCTCCGACCCTCCTCCCCCCCTATAAAGCTATAAATATCATGACATCTCTAAAGAGTATTTGATAAAGTTTAAATTCATGCATGAGCTACATCTTATTTACGTGCCCCTTAGTGTTTGTGCCGCCATAAGCAGTGCCCTTCAAAATCGCATGGTTCTTGCTGTTGTGGAATACGTACATTTTTTTTTACTTTAGCGACACATGCTGAAGCCCGTTTATTTACTGTCACCTTCTCGTCTTTAACCTCCTCCCCCCCCCCTCCACACGAGACGTCCTCCTAACCACCAGCCCCGTTTTTGGCAAACAAAACACCGCCACTCCGCCAAGCAAGCTTTACGCAACGCATGTGAGAGCTGGATCTTACTTACTCCTCTTCACTCCCTGTGGCGCATAAGGCCGCAACAAGCTCCACGCCATGCTGGACGGTCTTTAGCACCTTTCTCTGCTTCACCCCAAGACAGGCCCAAGAGCTACCCGTGGTAAAACGGAATGCCGCGACGTGCATGCAGATTGTGCTTGCACGTACGCATGCGAATGCCTGCACGGATGATCTACCAAACGTGTTGAAGTGCTTCTGCGTGCAAATTCCAGGCAGGCGGTGCCAACGTTTACGTAAACTAATGTTGCGAGCGGAGCTCACCTCTGACAATCAAGGTTCTTTAAATGGAAAAGTCCCGTGGCTCTTGCGATGAACCGTTGAGCTGTTCGAAAAGCTCTTGGTGGGGCATTTATGCTTCTATCTGCGGCGTAACTTATTGGGACTTTGCAGATTGCTCGAGCATGGTGCAGGTACATGAGAAAAAAGGGGTTCAATTTACAATAAAAACATGGATATAGTGATACCAAAGTTGCTGACAGCACATCACTCGGCTTATTTTGGATAGATGTTGAGATGCCATTACTGGTTTTGTGCATATTCTGCAGAATATGTATTTGAATGGCGAATGATTGGGGTATTATTTGGATTCCGTATGAATTTTTCACGACTGCCGTATGGAATTGAAAATCCTGCCGCCGCTCAATTTGGTGCCGGTCTCCTCATCATGTGGACTCCTGTAATAAATACTCTTGGCCAAAGCACCACATAGCTTTTGTTAGTGCACGACCTTCAACCCTGATTTGATTTCTGTCGCTCTCCAGGGATGCTGCCTGCCACAGCAGTTTGTGCTGAAAAAGCAAAGCAGAAGCTCTTAAAAAGTTTTTTTTTGTAATCTCGTGGAGCTACCGTTATTAACTGCAGTTGAATTGCTAGCACATGTAAACGAGCAATTGGTGTTATTGTAATTGCAAATTGTTCCTGTCAGTGCCAGTCGGATTTTGTTCAGGTCTTCTGTGGCACAAAACACAACTGAATATAATTGCCTGTTGCTAGACCATTGGAATACATCGAATGTAGTTTGGGGCACATACATTCTGTGAAACTATACTACCATTTTGGAAGCAAATTCTGTGGATTTATTAGATCCCCCCCCCCCTTCCCAAAGAGTGACTACTTGTCACTCACTGTCTTAGGTCACAATTTTACATAAAAAATGAATACGTTTATGTTTAGCGTTTACATCCTGTTTCTGT